TACTTGGAAGTTTAGAAGTAAGTTGAGATGCTTTGGGATGTACAGGTGTGTGAGGTGGTCCTTGAGAGAGGTGGCTGCAGGGGAAAGCTAATTCCAAGTGACAAAGGAGCAATTTTAGCAATGATTTGATGGTGTGGCCACTGGCATTTTGGGGAGAGGTTGCCTTTTGTTTTATAGAACAATGTTCACTTAGGGGCAGATTAAACTCTGGCCTCTAGCCAGCTTTTTATGGTATTACAGGCATGGAATCAGTCAATACAGAAAAATGCCTGGATGTTCAGAGAAGTGTTTGTCACAGAGAAGTGAAGGCAAGTTGATGTGAAGGAGTCACAATGGACTTGCCTCATGACTATTTTTAAAGACTAGTGGAGGGAAAAGTGGTGACAGGCTTAAAAAAAAAAAGCATCAACTTAAATCTAACTTAAAAATAAATAGATGAATAGCAGCAAATTTCTTGCCAGATAAGTTAGCTCATTTTTAAGGTCACTCTGAGCTGCTGGCATAGTGCTAAGGGAGACTGGCATGTGTCAAAATATGGCTCATTCTCTATCATGGCTAAAAATGAGATCAGTTGCTATGGAATACATTAAAGAAAAAGTAGTTAAGGCAAAATTCACATACCTGCTGCAATTGTTAAAGTTGAGGGAGATAAAGCCCACCTAAATAATCTGTTAAAAATAATTAAACTATTTTAAGCATCATTCTTCCTATAAATTAGGCTGAAAGAGTCTTTCACTCAAAACCTTGAGGCTAGTTGAGGTGTCCAAGGTGAGATACAGGCCTGGCAGATTTTGATACCTGAGAGTTTTCTTTACAAATATATAAAACTGGTATTTGGAATATTGTTCTTATGTTGCATTAAAGGATTTTGATAAGGTAGGTACTAGCCTTAATCTGCCTATGAAGTCAAAGAATATAGAGGTAGGGGTTATTTCCAAAGGACACGTGAGGTCTCATGTAAAGTGAATAGCAATTTTTGGCACCTCTACAGGCAGTTTACAATGTCTAAAGTCCTCATTTATTCATATATTTTTAAAATTTAAAGCTAGGCAGGATGAGCTGAGGTCTACCTACTCAGTCCTCCTTAATTTCTTCCATCAATCAGTGGAAGTCTTCACTTGACTGCCTCAACTAGAGGACCTGTTTTCAAGTAATTTCCTTTTTCTAACAAGAACATTTTAAAAACACACTGCTGCAGAAAGCAAACTTAAGTGAACGGGGCTTTCACACCTACAGAATCATAATGTGCATAAGGGATTACAGTTTTTCTTCACACTCATGATCAAACCCGGGCCTGCCTTTGACTTGGAGCCAATTGCCTGGGCAGGGAGCCGGCTGGGCTGCTTTCCTAAGAGAGGAATTGCTGTTAAATGGCTGTGAGAATAGCTTTGTACAAGGTAAACTGAGACTAAAAACCCATTGTTGCCCTAAAGATACTGACTAACCAGATCCTTTGGAGTATAAAAAACAGAAAGATTTTCACAACTGATACCTTCATGTTGGTATTTTTGTAAAATTGGCCACACTTCTTTCTGCTAAAGGATGTTTGGGAAACCAACCCAAAAGGAGTGTGGCCCTCTCCACAAAGACTTGTGCAACACAGGCTTTATGAATTTTCATATTACAATGGCGTAAAGAAACTAGAGCCCACTTCTACCCTTAGCTTAGATCAGCAAGGAAGTATGAACAAGGTGCATCAGAACATGCCAAACTGGTGGGAGAGAGAGATGTCAGCTCATGCAGTGTTTGATTTCCAATTTACCTGCAAGATGATCCATAGAATTTTCCATATTGTTTTCTGGCGCATTACTATCCAGGTAACTCTCCTGAGTGATATGCGGACAAAATTTTTGATGTTTACCTTGTAGCATTCTCATTTTAATTATTAAGCCAATATGCTGAAATGGAATAAGCACAGCGTTCTTTTACACAATCCCTTCTGCATTCGAGGGCATTTCAGTTCACAGGCTTTGTTTTTGGGTCAAGATTATAGATACCAGAATAGATGGATATCGATAGATAACATGGGACAGCTGATTCCCCAGCCAGGAAAGGGAAAGGTTTGCAATACACTAGAGCTTGTTCCTCGCCCGCAAAAAAAATTATTTATATTTAATTTTCATCTTCTCATTGCAACAACAATAACTAGTAACAAAAGTTAAGCAAAAATTTAGGTATACTATGTCAAAGTGGTTTTGGAAACAGAATTTCAAAGCCATAAGCCAATGGGCAAGTCAGAGTTCATGTTCAAATGGTAACCCTGGTTCAGTGTACACCAGGTTAATGATAACATGCCTTGGGACTTGTTCACCTGACAAGAGGCAATATCGCTGGCAAATATTTATCTTAGCAGTGTGGGACAGTACTTCCTGGTGTGTGTTGCCTCAGAACTGTCCAGCAAGTGGGAGCACCATCTCTTTACGATATGAGAAGAATGGTTACAGGCTGAAACCAGCTGAGCTCTGGCCCGACTGGTTGCCTGCAGGGTGGTGCTCCCAAGGCTACACTGTTAAAAGTCGATGTTGGCGTAAAGAATTCACACAAAAGGGAAGCGAGTTCTTGCAGTAACTCCACTGATTTTGGTCATGTTGTGCAAAGGAAACATTTGACTTGCAGAGACTATTCCCTGACTGGAAGAGATGATCTGTGATTGCAGAGGAGGGCCTAAGGGCACACAGGAGAGAAGCGGTCATGCAACAGCAGCAGGACCAGAGTGGGTTTAGCGCTCAGAACTCGCAAGAAAAACTTTTCTTGAAAAGTTGTTCATGTCTGAAGGATCTCAGAGAGAGGTTTTACATCACTTGCTGTGTCTTGGCTAAATAGAAATCTGACCCAGCAGCAGAGAAGCAATGAATTCAGGGTAACACCTGCCCCCCCCAAATTGTAAATAGGTTAGCACAGGTCAATTAGAAACTGGCATAAGTGAGCAAATGAGAGGGTGAGACCCTGTGGAGAATGGATGAGGGAAAGGTGGGAAGCTTCATCTACTCTGTTCTGCTCTCCCTTCAAAAGTGCTCTGCTTTTGCTTTTGCTTCAAGTTTAAGCTAAAGTAATTTTGCTTACCAAAAAAGCAAAACACACAGCAGACTTGAACAGCAAAGTGTCTCTTTAAGTCAAGGCCATTCTCAGTTTTTGCATAAAATCTCATTATTAGCAAAAGACATGGGAAAACATATTTCCAAGTGTCCCAGAGGAGATGAGATTGTCTTTCATGCCCTTCTTCCACCCAAAGTTAGTGAAGAGATGCTGAAGGGTTTCAACCAGCCTTCTTGCTAAGCTGTCCTGCTGAGGATTGAGGGCTGAGGTTTACTTGAGTGTGTATCTAACAACTAACACAGCATGTTTACTCTTCTGATGACAAAAGCACTCAAGAATGATTTCTTCACCCGCAGGCAAAGAGGAAAGAAAGAATGCCTTTTTGCATTGCTGTGCTTTTTGTGTTCCAAATGCTTGCACTTGATTTTATCAGCAGGAACATTTTTCTGGGTAATGTGAAAATTTATAGATGAGTCTCAATACTGAACAACTGCAACACCTGCTTCCAGAGGATTTGCATTGCATTTCCAAAGTATCTGCATTGCACTGACAGTGTTCAGTATTATCTGAGGATCCTTCACATTTATAATCAAGCAAAATGGCCCAGGAACTAGACCAGATTCAAGGAATGGGAGAGTTAGGTTCAATTCATTACTTGAGCACAAACAAGTTATTGGATTTGTTGGCCCTGTTTCCCAAAGTTACCTGCACTCTGCCTATTCCCACTGTGGTCATTAGGTGTATGCAGCCTTTCTTACTATTTTTAAGTAAAAACAAAAGACAAGATTCAGTTCATCTGACTGTACCCATTCTCAACTGACTGGCTTGGATCTCAATATGGCCAGTACAGAGTGGCACCTTTCCAACAGCTGTCTTAGAAACCAGCCTTACATGGAGACACATCATTCCAGAAAGACCCAGGGAACTAGAGGACTAAAGTATCCTGAGCTGAATCCCACAGAGGGGAAAGATGGGTTTTCTGGTTGTATCCCAGTGACATACCAAACAAGCACGGATGAGAGCAGAGGAGAAGGTATGTCATTCAATTCTTCTGCTATTCAGTATTAAGTTAGGTGAAGAACAATGAGTGCAATGAAGTGGCACTCATGAAAGTAAACTGATGGCAGCTAAAATGATTTATTACAAAAAAAAAAAAAAAAAAAAAAAAAGAAAGAAAAAGCTGCTGGGCACTGCACTTGAAATAGGGAAATCACAGGCCTCAGTTCTCTTCCAGCTCATAGAAAACCCAAACTACAAACTACTACTAGCAAATACATCTGTCTTCCTTGCATATTTTGAAAGCATTCTGATCCCTGTCTATGTAAGATACTCCCACAAACACCATGTACCATGGGACTTGCTAGCTGGCAGTAAATCTTTTATAATACAGGACATAGTCACATAGTGAGTAGTCGGACTGAATTTAAGTCTTTCAGTGGACAAAGATTAATATGGTCTTTGTAATCAAGAGAGTACTGCAGGGTGGTAAGAATTTTAAAAAGGCTGTGAATATAATAATCGTTGCATATATGTAAAATATGTTTTTAACAGTCCTGATGTAGTGCTCACTCTCTAAAAGGCAAATAGTATCTTGCTTTCCTCCAGTGATGCAGTTTCTCAGTCAAAGGGGGGTATAAAATCAGTGGGGAGAAGATTGAAAAAGTGCAGCCTTGCCCCTGAGCTCAGCCATGTCTGATACTACAGACTAAACTACAGCTGTAAAAGCTTTTGGTGTTGCCCTTATAAATGAAGTGTTATGTATGGGCATTGTTTAACTTGTATTTACTTCAGGCAGGACTTCTTTAGAGACAGTTGATGCCTTCTAAGAGTGCCTTGTAATAACCTAAGTCTATTCATCACTACAGGAGGAAAGGCATTAGTCACATTGTCCCATTAGCAGCACCACTGAAATAGAACAAGTCCTCTTTAAAATGCAATTTATTCTACAAATACATAGAGCAGAATCCTTTGGTAAATTTCCATAACTGCATATATTATCAGAAGGAAAACACAAAGGAGAAAAATAACATTGCTTGAAGGTTGCTCAGAGCTATGTTCTAAACTACTCACATGCTAAGGAAACATTAAATGGGAGCCAAAACACCTCCATGAGTTTACATTCATGTTCTCTTCCTTGGGCATTTTGTTTCCATGCATCCACACTCGTCTACATGTACATATGTGAACGTGACTGTCTTATGCTGAGAGCAAACGAGTTCCACTTGCACTTCATGACTCTTTTTTTCATGGCAGCAAATGCATTTGTGCTCCATTTCATTGGCTTCAAAGGAATACCTGTGGAAACAGTATTCACACATCAGCCTGCAGCCAAGTGCTTTCACAAGCCAATTGATACCTACTGCTTGGAATATAGGTACTTCTAAAGAATATAGGAGTAAATATTTCCTATTCCCTTTTCTAATGGTTCAAAACAATCTATCCTTATGATGCTATGAGCTATGCAGGGCCTAATCGTTCGATGCCAGTGGGAAAAATCCTAGTCACTATTGGTTAGGCCCATTCCAGCAAATCAGAAAAGAGCAATTTATGCAGAGTAGCAATCAGAGATGTTTAAAAATTGCCTAAGGGGGTGTATAAGAACAGGTAAATTTTATAAGATCTGTTTTTGTAGTGCCCTATTTTCTGAGTAAAGATAAGGCACACCTATCACACTAAAGCCTTAGTATGACATTGAGCCACATAACTAAAGATTGCTCTTCTGCACACTCTGCGGCCTAGCCAGCTCCTTCTACAGTTGGAAAGGGACAAACTGCATCTGGAGCTGGGGAAAGGAGCCCAGGAAGACCACATACCAGTGAGGACACCGGTTTCCTACTTACACAGAATAGGTACTGCACGTCCCTTCACAGAAAGGCACTGGGACTGGAGCAGCAGACTTACAGTTGTTGTGAATGATATATTGTTCTTTCATGTTACGTTTGCATTTATGTGGTAGGTCAACACCTGTGTGGGAGACACACAGACACGGTTAATTAGACTTATTAAGATTGGAGAGGAAACATTTTGAAAGATACTTACTAGGAAAGCAAAGGCAGATCATCATACTAAAACCACATATAGTTCAAAAGGATAACTAAATATCCAAGAGGCACTAATTCATAAAAGTAATTCCATGCTTGTCAAGGCAATTTCCTATTTGGGGAATAACTCAAATGAAGATGTTATAAATATATAAGTTCAGATAAAGCTACTCCTGAACCAAGACCTAAAGGAGATATAAAGAGGTTTTTTGTTTGTTTGTTTGTTTGCTAACATGTGTGACTGTAATGGCCAATAGTTTCTGGACAAATGTGTGGATCCTAAAGAAAAGGAAATTTTTTTTTTACACGTAATTTCCAGATGGAAGAACAGAGAATGTACTTTCTACAGATTCTCTCCTCAAGAACACAGTTTAAACTATTTCAGTTATTTTAAAATATAGAAAAGGAGATCACAAAGGTTTTTAGTATCCCCACTGCAGTAATGAGGCAGACTTTAAGCAGACTGTGAGGTGCAGAGCAGTTCTAGAAAAGTTTGACTGATCCCTTCAGTCCCACAGGTATCGGCAGAAACTGCAGGTGCTCACTTCATGCAGGATCAAGGCTACAAGGAGCAGAGAAGCAAACAGTGCTTGATTAGAGATATCACTGTCTTAAAACACTCACATGTCTTACAACAGCCATCCGAAGTCACATCAATTGTCCCCTGTGTTGAGAGTAAACACAAGAACAGTTCAGATACTCTTAGATGGGCATATTGCTAAACGACTAGTAGCAATGATGGGAGTTCTAACACCTTCCTGCTGATTCCACATGACAATACTGCAAGAGTACCAGTTATATATATAAATATAAAGAATTTTCAAGAAAACCAAGAAGGAAAGGAATGAGCTTTCTTAAAACTATGAATCATATCACAAGCCAGGTAAAACATTTTGCAAAATATGCCTCCCTTATTTAGATCCTGTGGAAGCCACTAATCACTGAAAACCAGGTCACATAAGTCCCCTTGTCACATATCTTGCTTATGCATCTACTCCTTCTTTCCTTAGCAATGCACCTTTTCACAGAAGACGACACAGTGTCTATCAGCTCTCTCAGGGGCTCACAGTAAGTTAGCTTACTCACTTTCAAATCGAAACCTTCCAGAACAGCAGAAGCAGAACTCCTACCAGAAGGCATTTATCTAGTTCTAAAATACTTACTGGAACACAGTTTGATGCCTCAAATGGTAGGCAGACCTTTACTGTACTAGTCAAAGAGAAGTGGCCTGCTAATTCAGTGCATGTGTACTTAGTACAGTTATCGTATGGATCTTTATAACTCTTTCCAACCTGGAAAAAAGACAGAAAAATAAAAATAACAAAAACCAACAATAAACACAAATTACAATATACATTAACATTAAAAATAGAATAATATAGTAGTAATGTGGTCAATGACCTACCAGGGGAACTTGGTTGCTCATATCACAAAATAGTTAAGGTTGGAAGGGACCTCTAGAGAACATCTAGTGCAACCCCCATATCATATCACTTTGAAGGTGTTGAAAATGTCTGGAACTTAAATCTACAAATTATGTACAATGCTCACCCAGTAGCAGCCTATGCAAAAAAATATCTTCTGTGGCCACTTAGGTGGAAAGAATCAAAAGCTGATGGAGAATGAGTATGGAGTTTTGGATGGCAATAGCGAGCAGCACTGTTAAGTACATCATGTGGGTGTGTTAATATATGTTGAATGAAGCAAGGGATTTCAACAGCTTGCTTTTTCAACAGATGGAAGCAGACCCCAAAATGCAGAAGATGGAAACAGTCTTTAGAACAGAGGCTAAAGGACAAATGCAAAGCCTATTCACAATAGCCCCCTTTGAAGGAAAATGTAAAAAGAATACAAATATGAAAAAGCAGTTCAAAAGAAAAACTCTCAAGGAACAAAGGGATAAATAGAAAAGATGCAGAACAGAGCTATCAGGGAAGAATCAGGATCTAAGACAGTAGTAACTGGGTGAGACAGTGTTATTAACTGTTCACAGTAGTAGTAGACTGTAATGAAATCGAACAGCCAGCCTGAGGCTCAAGTTGTGCCTACGTAACACTAAACTGAGAAGACAAGGTATATTACATGGTATGTTACCAAGACATGCTACACCAAAGCAGCTTTGCCACTTCCCATTTCAGCTAGAGCAAATTCTGAAAGAGCAGCAATTTAGCTATATCAGCTTACTCAGACAGTTTAGTGCTATGTCCCTGTAATGAAACTGTTTTCAGTTCTGGAGCACTGTGATGTGAAACCAGCTCACAGATCTCTGCAAAAGCTATATTATACAATGTCAGCCCCTCCTCTCTCCAAATTTTTCTCTCCATTCCTGCCACAGAGGCATAATTCTCAACACAACTGCAGAGAGAACTGCAGTGTTGAAATGTGCACAGTAAAGGGAGCAGCCATATAAACATCTACATTTAATTCGTAAATATATAAATTTTTAAATCTACTATTGCACTTCCCAGCATCAAAAAGTATGGCAACGCTTCAAAAATGTGGAGGCCTTTTTGGTAATTGAGCCTTGTGTGCAGAGCAGGAGAGTGCTCACCTCAATGGTCACATTGCCAAATGGGAAGGTCGCCACACAAGCCACTTGGCGGCACTGGCTGCAGCACTGGCCCTCTTCTTCCACATAGCGGAACCCCTGTAGGTATAAAAGTTACCTCTTAGCCATGTCACTTGAGGTCTTCACCTGAGGTTCACACTCACATCATTTTTTCTGTTGTCTTGGGTCTTTAGAAACCTCTTGAAATTGCTCTAAAGCTAACAATGAAACTTGACAATTTAACTGTTTCCCTCATTTGAACAAGCTGTGAGGCACTTCACTCATCAAGATGACCTTGTCACTGGCTACTCTGCAACATGATAACACACAAGTTAATTAATTGAGACAAAGAAATTAGCTTGGCATCCCCAAGTGCTTGGTCTACATGATTGTTCACAAGTACTGTCACTGTGTCAGACGTAAAGATATCTATGCACACATTAATCATTTCCTCCCTCTTGTTTTGAGTATATTTCACTTTCAGTCTTTCAGCTGGAGAATGTGTAGGTGGCCTCTAGATAAAGGATGATGGTTTTATTCATTTTTTGGATCAATAGTGGCTCTGGCTGTATCTGGGTGAGAATGGAAAAGTAACCGTTCTTTGCTTGTTCTTTGCTTGCCTTCAGTATGCTACTCAGCACTTTGTATGCAGACTCTCAGCTCCTGAGTACCAAGTCATGTCCAGACACAGGTAATCACTCAGAATGCGCAGTATCTCTGCAATCTTATTTTTTAAGTTGACAACAGACAACACAAACACGGATTTTCAGCAGTCAGTTTTCACTTTAACTAGTTTGCAATCATTTTCCCTCAGGGCATCTTTCCAAAGGTGACTTCTTAAATTTGATAAAGAAAAAAATCTAATAGAAGATCATATCCTGCTCCCTTTTAGGGAGGAACCCCATTGTCCCAGTTTTACAATATATCCCCTCAACAACCATTGTTCTTGATCTGAGAGGCTGAGCACACTGAGCTGACCTGCTGGCAGGCAGTCTGGCATTTCACTGGAACGCACTGGATGCGGTTGGTTTGCGTAACGACATCCTGCTCGTCTGTGCACACACAGTCCTCACACGACTTCCTAGGCACCACTGCCCCAGGCTGAAAACATGAAGAAAGAGAGAGCGGAGAAAAAATGCAGCAAGACTGTGGCTTCAAGGATATACTTATGTTCTCTTGACTACATGAAAATAAATGGTTGTGCTTGGGATTTATTTCTGGCAGAGCTGCCCATAAAGATCAAATTTAAGGTCTCTAACTTCAAAGCTTATACTGTCAATATCACAGAACTAATGCAAGGCTGATGTACTTACATGCATCAGTGCATCAATCATGTTAAATGAATTACTGTTTCATCTCATGAATTCCATATTCCATTCTTTTCTCAGTTTGACCTAGTAATTAATTTTACAATTTCTAATGAGATTTAAATTTATATTCAATTTGGTTTTCTTGACTGTAAAACACAGGTAATATCTCATTTAGTAAGCAAACTACTGTGCTCTAGGGGCACCTATTCAGTGCCATTTCCGATACCATAAGACTACCATCAGGGAAAACTTACGGGCTATTTTAATTTTTTTTTTTTTTATGCAAATGTTAACAAAATATCAGAGCATTCCAATTCAGGCTGCGACAGCCCATGGGAAGAAATGTCCAGAAGATAACCTACCTTATATTCAACTCCTTCAGAAACACATACACCTTTTGGTACTGCAAGAAAAAATAAAAAGGCAGTGCTAAGCAGTCAATTACTGTACTAGTGCCTGAATTCTCAGTGATTTATAAGAGAAGCAGAGAAAAACTGACCTTAACAGCCTACGCAAAAGGGGAAAGAAAAGGAGGTAGCTGGGACATGTTGCTAGTTGTTACCTTGAAGCCCACATGTAACACCTGCTCTGCAGGTGATTTCATGCACATAGTGGGCAAAACTCTATATCCGGGCATTTCCTATGTAGCAGACCTCATATATTTTTACCCAAACTTGAGAAATCAGTTGAGCTCCTTTTTATTGTTTACCATCTCAATGATCACAGAGCAACTGGAAGGTTGGGTCAGCCATGAGATTCTGAAAATACAGTTTTGAAGTAAAGCTTCTGAATGGTTCCTGTGTAACAAATTCAGTGTGTGAATACTGTCTACAGATAACTTGCACCAGTTGCTCTCTCTCAATAGGATTTAAGGCTGGGAGAGGAGAGGGAGAGGAGTGACGTTTTGTGATTTTCATCCTGGGCAAAGTTCTATTTAGAAAAAAATGCAATAGTTCAAGGAATACATAAAATCTTAACGAAACATGGTACTTACTACAGGAGAAAATAGGACAACAACCATCCTCAGATATAGATACCACTGGTTGGAAACCTAAGCTGCATGCTGTTTTGTTGATAATGCAGGTTTTTATATCACATTCTGCAACAGACAATATAGATGAAGTAAGTCAAGGCATCCTTTCTGGCAGTTTTACCTGTATATCTAAGTCTGAACATCCAAGTCATCTCCTAGTAGCCTCTCCTTTATCAAGATTTAGTTTCTGACCTGCAAAAATTCCGTTTTTAAGGACTTGTGTTCCCAAAGACAAAACTTGGTCTAAGTTCCTATGCTTAAGTGTTTCGTACTGACAAAATCTCTTAGTGATCTTTCAAAGCTTTAGCCAATAGGAATTACTAGACAAGGGAATTTATCCAGTTCCCCTGAAATATATGATTTTTCAACCATGCATTTTTGGAAACAGGGAGCATATTCAGGTGAAGTATCTAAACTTCTCCTATTCAAACTCTTCCCTAAGCATACATTTTGACTCTTGCTCCTGCTTCTTTTCTCCCTCTGGGTTTCACTCCTTGGAATACCAAACACTTCATCTTAAAGACAAAGAAGGTGACGGAGAACAAATTAGGTAAAGACAGATGAAAAGGGGAAAAAATGACGAGGCAGTGAATGAAGGCCAAAAAAGTAAAGAAATGAAGACACAAGACAGGCAGGCAAATGAAGACACCCTGATAGTCCCCATTACTCTCTCCAAGAGCCTAAGGAGCCCAGGAGGCCTCTGCCTGGAAGCAGAACAGTGTGAGGAGCAGAAACAGACCCTGCTGTCATCAAGATCCCTCATCACCCTCCCTCTTGCAGGTGAAGAGGCAGATTGTGTGCCTTGATGGATGTGTGAACCCAGGACAATGCAAATGAAAGGTTGAGGGAAAACCATGCATCACTGACGGCAAGAACTCCTGGCACTTCGGTGGAAGAAATTAAGTCCTGCATGAGGTGGTCAGAGGCTTGGAAAATACCAATTTGATGCAGAGGGACCACTCCCATGGTTTTGGTTGTCTCTACTACCTGTGGAGTCTTTGTAATCTCACTTGAGCATCACTGCTAAAAGTATATCATGCCACATGATGAACTCTATCCTTACTCACCACAGACTGTCTCTGTACAGCATGGGTCATCTGGACGTGCTCTTGTTTTTTGCACAAAGCCTTCTTTCGTGCAATTGACAGGCAGAGACTTAGCACAAGGGCGGGAAAAGCAGGAGATGTTCAAGGTTGTTTCATCACAAGTACAGTACTGACAGTCATGCTCCCAAGCCTCGCTGGGCTGTCAAAACCAGAGAAGCAACAGTTCAGAGAGCAAAACCTAGAAGCATTAGAGTAATAAATGCCTGCTGCAAGGCAAGGCAGGTATGAGTTCCCTAGGTTATTATATAGGAAGATCAGACCCAAATCCCTGCAGGTAAAGAATGGAACTGTAAGGAAAAAATGCTATTATTTGCTGCCTTCCGTTACAGGTTTATGTGTTTCATAAGGGCAACCTGATAGTTCTACCAGAAAGCTGTGGTTCCCACAAACTGCTAATTGTGTTTCCACATCTCAGGTGAGGAATGAAAGTGAGGAGTTGAGAGTCTGTTCTTTTCTTTCCCACTGTCACTACATTCACTGGTATGTCAGATAGAATTAAAAAAAACAAGATACTCATGCAACCATTTTTAAACTAGTTAACAGCACTCAGTTGCAGCATGACAACAGCATTTTTCTTACCTTTTTCACTGATCCATCTTGTGCAGTGCAACCTGTAAAACATAATAAATTACAGATTCCTTTAATAATTGCATTGGGCAAGTCAACAGAGGCAGTAGGGAGCTCTTAAGTGCAACTCTAGTTGGGGGTCTTGATCCCCCTCCTCCCCCTCGGACTTTTATGTTATTTCTTACCACAGACAGAAACACAAATGCCATCGTGATCATTCAAGAGAGTTTTTCCATTAGGACAGTAGCATCCTTCAACAAACACTGGTTGATTATTTTGGGTGGGAAGGGTATCCGCCACAAGTTCTCTGCACAATTAGAATATAAACAGGAAAAGAATGAGAGGCAGAAATGTGCCCACAGGCAATCCGACACTGAAACCCCAGGAGAGCACTATCATCCTGCCTTCCTTGGCACTTTTGAAATTATGGCCCTTTGCCTTAAGGAGAATGACCCACCTGTTGAAGCAAGTCTTTCTTTTTGCTTTCCCGCAAGGCATGTAGACCTGATCCTGAGCACAGTTGGCTTCTGTGGAATATCACAAGAAGGGGGGTTAGATCTCCAGGTCCACCAGCACCCGTTGGCACACACAGACCAACCAGAAACAACCCCATTCTAGGGGAAGGGAGAAGCTATGTATTGCCATCTAGTGATGAAGCTGTAGATAAAGTGCAAGGGAGAATAATGAGACAGGTCCCAACCAGCATCTCTGCTGAGCTGCTCAGAAGGGACTCTGGGGCAATCTCCCACTTGGTTTGCCCTAGTTCTGTGCAGGAAGAACTTCTCCGATTTGTTACTGCTTTTTTTCAGGGCAAGGAAAGGGTGAAGTCTGATTGTACTGAGGAACAGAAACTGGCACACAGAGGTGAGGGAAGAATCAACTGGTGATGCTCTGTTAGCAGTAGATAATTTTGAGACTTAATAGATACTTTTGAGACTTTGAGACTTTCTGAGACTTACCACACCACCCGTTGGTCTGACTCCGCCAGTCGACGCAGACCCCGTGGAGCCCGCACAAGGCTGCGTACGTCTGCATGCTCTGGCACTTAGCCTGGGGGCCCAGCTCGGAGCACTCACTCGCCACGCAGGCTGCATAGTAGGGTTGTGGGGGAACCACACTGTGGCAGGCAGTCAGATTCCTTTGCAAAGCAAGAAAACAGGCAGGGGCTTTCAATTCCTTGGACTAATTCCAAGGGCAAGTTCAACTCAGAACCAAACATCCTCATCTGGAGAAAGCCTCAAGGTAAAGATCCAACTGCAGATTGCTCTGATAGGGAATATGCCTACAGTACTACATATTACGCAGACCTACGTAGCCTAATTATTCATTTCACTGCTCAGATTTAAAAGATAGCCTAGACTTCACATCTTCATCATGTCCTCTAGGCATCTTGTGGACATTTACATCTGACATGTTCAGGAGTTGTCTTACCAGATGATTTTGCACAGATCAGTAGGTTCACAGCGCTGCTGATTTCGAACTTCAACTAGTTCGGAGGGACCTGGATTACAGTATCTGTTGGTAGCATCTGGCACTTTCCAGTCTAATGCCATCTCTTTGAAGGACTCAGTGATCTCACCATTCCTTTTCATAGCATCATCAGACTTGCGGTTAGTGCAGGTACCTGGTAGCAATAAAAAGGCAAAATGACAGTTCAAGGGCAAGTGATAAAGCTGCTTCTTGAGGAAAAAGGGAAACTCTGGACCCTTGTGGCAGGTAACAAACACAAGAGGTTCTGGACAAGCTCACAAGAACTGTTTGTAGAATGAGAAAGCTAGAAGAGCTAGCTACTGGTTACCCATGAAAAGCAGAGTTGAGGTATTAGCTCATGCATAACCTCTGGGGGGCTAAATGGTTTCTGTCCAGCACAGGACCTTTCATATTTGCTGTATTCCGATCCTGAGTATGGAAGTAGGATTTAGAAAAAAACTGTCCCCAACCACCATCAAATGTGGGCAGAATGTAAGGGAGTGACTTAAGCCTCCATATTCTAACAGCGTCTTTCCACCAAGTAGGGAGAGATTCATTAAAATTGTGCATCATGTAAAACTCAATGGAGTAGCATGGATTCAGAGACATTTATAAGGATATGAGGGGAAAAAGAACAACAAAAAAAAATAACCTTTATTATATTCATTGCTGTCAGCTGAACAGGATACTCACCGCACAGCCCCATGGTATTGTTATAAAACACTCCAAAAGGCAGTTTTATGTAAAATGCCAGTCTACTGTAGGAGACATAAACTTCTAATTCAGGTATTTCAACTATGACATGAAGGCCAGAGCTGGTTATCCTGATACCATTCTTGGAAATGTTCGGAACAACTTTCTTATCATTGAACAGGATCTGAAGAGAGACATGCAAACGTGCTCTAAAAACATCCTTCTCTTGCGCAAAGAGTACGGCTTGCGTAGCTGGAAGGCATCGCACCGATTCAGAGCTCAGGTGCACCAAATAAAATCTGACAAAAGCAGTCATCTTAGCAATGGCCTGCTGGTACTTTATGAAATCTATTTAATACATTGTAATTTGTATTTGAATACTGTTGCTATTTTGCTAGCACTAACAAAACCTCCCAGCTTTTAATTATGAGATCATTTCCCATCTAAAACAAATTCTTAGAATTTCCAAATTCTGGTTGACATTAGAGAAACAGAAACCTAACTGCATTTGCCACTCATCCCATTTTTTTTTTAACAAGCTTTCTCCTTTATCATGGCAGGGCACTTGGCAGGATAATAATAACTACCATGTAATAATACCAAAACGTATTCTAATAAAATACTTTACCAAGTTGGTTTCTTTTCCATGTTCTATTGCTTGTGTCAGAATAACAACAGCATCAGAGTGGAAAATGAGAAGAGACATTGAACAAATGGCTCCATCAGTGGTACCACAGTAGTAGTTGTCTATGTGAATCCAGAAGTTGGAAGAGTAAGGTTGAACTGGCTTCACAAGCACATAGGTGCAGTTTTCTTTGAAATGATAGTATGTTCCATCAAAAGTCACATAATGCTCATTTCCCCATCCACTGCAAATACCTGGAAGACACAGTGACAGGCTTCAAGTTGGGCTTCCTCTCAATTCCCTGCAAGTACAAACTGTATTTTTACTCTTTTTATCTCTTCCTAAGAGAGCTAAAATGACCAGTGAGATGCAGAAAACCTACCTTATTATCAGCACCTTTTTCTGTGCTTAACACGTGGCATTTTAGGTTGGAATTCTGCTTCGTTACCTTCCATTGAATTCATCAAAACTTAAGATAGAAAGTGATCACATAGATTTATCTAGATTGAGGCCCAGATGTACATAAAATAAATTTTAGGCATTCCTCTGCCACTTGTACTTACACTGGCACTCAAAGACTTCACAGCAGCCGGTTTCATCGTGGTGTTTTGTGAAAGGGAAACCATTGACACACAATTTCAGTTGCTGAGGAGGGCAAGTCATACTGGACAATTTAATATTGTCATCTTCTCCCAAGCAAGTGGCAATCTGGCAGTTTCCAAAGTTCCATGATTCATTAAACTATTGACAGATTTAAAGAGAGCAAGAGAGGAACATACTAAAGTAATATAACAAAGCTTTTAAAAATCACACACGCCGGCCACACTCTTTACAGATAACAGTGTGGCATTTGCAAGGCAAGTCCATTGGATGTTACGGCTGAACAGAACAATTTTCAACTCTTCCCTAAATTATTTTGGGATTTGTGGCATACTGCCAAAACACCCAGCTCTACTAGGACAGCTGGATTGCAGGTATGGCTCTTACCAGCATCAGAGAGATTTTTTTTTAATTCAGAGGAACCCAAATCTTGATGGCTGGAAATGCTGTAGCTAAAGAGCTACGATCTCTTCTTTCAATTCTCTCACCTTTCTAGGAGGAATGAGTCCAAGACAGTCGCTCACAGGAGCTGCTGTAGAAGCAGGAACTGGGCTTGTTGCATTCAGAGCAGGTGTCAGTGGACAGATTTCAGAGTCTGGATCACAGATCTTGAGAGGTTCAGTATGACCTAGTTTACACTCTGTCCAGATCAATTCAATCTGGCATGATGCATTGCAAACAGAGTAAGCACAGTGACCCGATACATTCACTGGCAGAGAAACATTTTCTCCTGCAAGGCCAAAAAAACCCAATGTTTAGTACTGAGTTGGCCATGAAATTGATAAACATTTGCTATGAACTCTACAAGCCCACGCAGCACAGAAACGCTTTTCTCTTGCGTCAGCCACCTACTCATCTCTGTACACGGCTCTGCTTTTAACTAATTGGTCTCATCTGCATCTAATGGCCAAGTTGAGAAGCAGCTCTCAGACTATAAATCCTTTAATCTATGACAGAACTCAGGAGTTCAATTTATCCAAAGAGCAAAGGCTAAGGGAGGGCCACAGGTGCCTTATCTGCAGTTCTTCTGTATTAAGTATATCAGTAAGAACTGAGTGCAATAGAGGAGCATACTAGTACCTCCCTGACTGCAGTTGTCTTCATACAGCCCAGGAGATGGGTGCTTCAGGAGCTACCAACAGATGAAGAGACTTGAGTTCTCTATCTTTGAAATATAAATGTGGCTTACAGTTGGGACTTAAGGGTTCTGCTGGAGCCCAGTGAAGTTAATATCTGCTTCATGCTCCCTCACAGCAGGGAAATTCAAAACAGGACAAAAGTAGAGGATATGGAAGAGCTGTAAGCCTGACAGTGTTAGGTACAGTTTGGAGATGTAACTAGCCCTGGGAACACGCAGCTGTAGCAGGCTGAACGAGCACTTGTTCAAGCGCATTTACCTAATGTGCAGTTCATCTTCCTACATAATGGTGCAAAGAGAAGAAATCAAATGGTTTCTCACCCATTTGTATCAATTGTCCATTGTCACTGCAGAAGCAGGGGGTGGCTACCGTTGGTGATGGTGGTGCAGAGATTATAGGTTGCATATGTATCTCTGCAGGAAATGAATTTAATTAATAATTTATTAAATAATAATTATTTAATATACTTTAAATTCAATTCCTGTATCATCTATTACATGCTAGATGATCACAAGAAAGGGAAAGAAACATTTTACATCCCCATCACATTCTGTAGAGTTACCTCTGTGTTTATACATGTCTGCTATTAGAATCATGCATGCATGCTCCACACTGTAGTCACATTTACTCTGTACAGAATAAAATTCATAGGCCTTCCCTGCCTCTTAATTCATTCTAAATTAAGGTTTCTTCAAACTTTCTAATCCTCTAGGACTTCACCTGGCTTTGGAGAGGTGATTTCCAGTGGGACACCATTGTCTCTTTTAATGCCTGGTTGCAAAGTATCTGTTGATTTAAATACAGACAGATCATTTAAATGCTGCTCAGCTACTCTGCAATCTGCCTTGAATAATCTTTCCTTCTTTAGTCATCACCCCACTATAATCTTAATCCAGATGTTAACACATGTAGCAAATACCAAATATATGGGCAGATCCTTGAGTCTTCAGCTATTCTACTCAATAGGGAAGTTAACCTTTAATTTTCCCTGTCCTACTTTGGAAGTTTGCCCTCAGATTAAGACTTTTTTAAAGCTAAATCATGTTTCATATTTACATGTTTTCTTCATCTCTTTTTTCTTCCTATTTTCTGTTTATTCTCTTCCTCTTCATTCCACAACTTTCCATTTGTAAAGAAGTTAAGCCACTAGTACCTTGATTTTCTTGCTCCAGCGACCTATGTACTGGCCAATGACCCGGATTTACTGACTCCAAGATGGAAACCCAAACAGTAAGAACAATAGTGGGACACAGCGGGTGACAGAGAAGAAACAGCACTTAGAACTAAGAAAGCCCATAGCTGCTATAAAAATTATACAGAATCTCTCTGTTCTCTCTTTTCTCCTCCAAATGCAATAATTTATATAAATAAAAGAAAAAAGACGCTTTTGTCACTACCATGAAACCCATAGGTCTGCCCACTCCTGCCTTCAATTACCTAAAATTCTGTGTTTTACTCATACTTATAGTGCTTGGAAAAGACAGAGGAATCTTGCTGCCATTACAAACTTCTTTGAAGTCACACCAAATCCCTTATATATCTAGTACCTTGTGCTGGCATGTATGATGTTCTGCAAGGGATAACTGTTTTTATGATTTCCCCATTAGGGCCACAGACAGCATTAATGCACTCAGTCCCATCTGTTTGACTGTATATAGCTTCATTTAAGGTGTAAGTCTTCCCATTGTAGCAGCAAAGGCAATCTGAAATAACAAGAGAGAAAATGCCATGGTACACGGGGAAACAGTCTTATAACAGAAATACAAGGGACACTGTCCCACAACACACATGAATTAAAAAAAAAAAAAAAAACCCACATCTGGATTTGCCATTCCATGGCTCATATGACTAAATATGAGTTGCCTGGGTATAAATTTTTCTCAGCTTCTACTTGAGGAGTCACATTGATGCTTTATCTCTTTTATTAAAATTGGGTTGGATTCTTGGTGGTGTTTTACAGAGTCAGTTTGCATAAAGGAGTTACTGGGTACTGAAAGAGTCAGAACTGGCAGAGTGATCCCCAGCCTGGAGCACAGGGGCTATTTCCTCTTGACAGATGATGCGACTAGGATTACTTATCCCTGAACAAGGGTGATAACACACTGCTAATGAGGAAGTTGCAATGACATTGGTTTCATTTAAATACATGAGAAACTCCAGTTTCTGGAGAGCATGTGCTCAGGAACCCCAGTAGAAGATGCCTATTACTGTAACAAATCAGCAAAACTGAAGAACTAGGTCTACTGGACCTAGAATTCTCCCTTGGGTTCTTCCTTACAGTTTCTTCCAGTTCTGGCAACGAACCAGATCCTTTGCATGGCTTGCTTAACATTTCATTGCTGATCTGGGAAGAGAACCCCCATCTCCAAAATACCCTGAGGCATATCAGTATCAGTTGTTGCACACAGCATAGCTGTCTAGGTTTCTTTTATCATTAGGACTCAGAAAATAGCATCGTTACAGGAGAAAGTGCTCACTAAAACACCATACTATGTCCTTCTGCAAAGGAAAGGCTATAAAGCAAGTATAGACCTGATAAAGGAGTATTTACCTAGGTGAGATGAATCCCACATTTCAGGTCTCTCTCCTTGCTCCTCCTGATTATTCTTTAGACTTACTCCTCAGGATAAGGTTTAGATTTATCCTTTTTCCAGGTCAAAGTTTTCTTTTTGATTATCAACACACTGCTATGCCTCCATCTATTGAACTAACTAGCTGAATGCAACTGCAGCAGCACATGATGTTGGGCTAGGCCTACTCATCCTAACATGACGAAGAGGAGGGGGTGAGCAAGTGGGGGTCGTGAGAACTTACCATTTGAATCTGAGGCGCACAGTTTTGCTTCAGGATCACTGAGAAAAAGAGGAAAGAATAAGGTTATTTTACTGCTTTGAATCAACATATGGAATAACAACAAGGCGAGTGCAATTCTTTCTATTTTTACAAAGCAAAGCCTTCTCTCCTTCAGGATTTAGTCATGATTGTCACTGCCAAAAGTTCCTATAAACATAAACCAGATATTATCTAGGTAGTTGTGTCCAATCCTATCCTGCCCATCTCATCATCACCTGACCTACCAGGAGGTGCAGCTAAGCAGGGGAACACACTCCCTCTGGTCCTCATCAAAATATGGCTTCTCAGCACCACACTCCGGGTAACAGCCTGAAAAGTTAAGATACAGACCAAGTTCCACATAGACACAAGGCAAACACAAATACCTCTATCAGCAGCATATTTGATTACACAAAGAATGTGGGGTCAATTATTTGTCTTCATCTTTTTCTCCTCCCCCCAAAAGGAGAATGAATTAATCCTAACTAACTCTATTTATCAATAAATAATTATTCTGTGCAAATTTAGAGCTAACATCCTTGTATTTCTGCCCAGTCTTAAAGGCAACAGGCAAATTCTGCCATGCCATTGCACACTGGGGAATTAGCCCAAGACTTCATCAATGAGATTCCAGGAATGGAATGAAATAGTCTGTCAAGGGAAGGCATTGATGCTTAAGACATTTAAAAGCCCATCAAAGTCAAGCAAGAATTACCTTCTAAACTATACAGCAAGTTACCACATTTTCCTTGTGGGTTCCTGCAGGTCTTTAGACAAGGAGCTCCACAAGGTTTATAAAACCACTCGTGCTTGCCAGGTGGATTGTAATAATCACAGAACACAGCTGGAACAGAAGAAAAAAGCTCCAAATCTCAGATATCTGCAAAGGTTTACATTCAGTTCTTACAAACAGGAGTTTAGGTCATACGTGTGCACAGATTCAGAACTCTCCTCTTTTCCATCCCACGTGTGACTGGGCACATGCAACATTGTTTTTTTTGTGTGCTTTTCATGGGGACACTTACGACAAATGGCAGGAGTCCTCCAGTCGATACAGACACCGGCTCTGCTACAGCTTCTTGAATAAGCAGCAACTGAGGTACAAAAGCACTCACAGTCTCCCACACTGTCACAGCCACAGAAGTCAGAAACACAAGATTCATAATATGGTATTGGGTTCACCTATCAAAATATCAACATCTCTGTTATCACAGTTATTCCTCCCACACTGTCTTTTAATGAGAGAATGAGCTCTGAAATTCTGCCATCCTGTGTGAGTAACTTGGGGATGACCAGGCTGAGTCAGTGACAGACAGACTAGGATTGTCAAGAAGAGCTCTGATATTTAACAACAAATGAAGTGTTCTAGTTTTCACCTGTTAGGTGGACTTTAAATCTTCTCATTCTCATGTTTGTAATACTAGCATCTATGCTCAAAGTATGTTTTCAATATAATTTCTACAAAAAGGATCTATCTTGGTTTCAGTTAGCTCAAATGCATAGTGTATGCCCTTTCTGAGAAATAACGATAAAGTGAGTATCAAATGAAATCTCTTTCCTCTGAATTTCACATCACTTTTAATTTAGCCTTTGTCAACATGAGTTGACCAAGGAAAATAGGCCAAATTATCTTTTAAAATAGATTATTAAGCTTCATTGAAGCCTTGTATAGACATTCTCATCAAGTATTAATGACCCTTCTGTTTAGATTAATTCAATTTATTTTCAAAATATACCAAATAATTCATTCCTTTAGGTAATTTGAACTGGCTTTCCTAAGGATCCCCATAAGAATACTCGCATGCGAAGTTATTTATGAATTTCACAATCTGATTGCTAGCTTTTTACGTCCAGTGGACAATACTTTCTTTTTTTTTTTTTTTTTTTTTTGTCTTTGGTTACAGGTAGCACTCTGGTTCATTAGTAGCGCTCAGCAGGATTTAGCTGATATAAAGACAAAGCGAGATTTCAAGAAATGTAGTCACTGTAGTCTAGGATGCTATGTAACAGTCCTTAATAAGAATGATTTGTGCACAAACGTGTGCTGCAACTGCAAAATACACCTAATGTGAAAGTATTGCAGATAAGAACAAGATTACCTTACTGTGACAGGCCTCAAAGATGCTACTCTTAATAATGCTGCAGTGCTTCTGTCCCAGAACAGTCTTGAAAGGCTGATCAGCACACAGGTCAGTCATGTTTATATTTGAGCAGGTGCTGGTTATTTTCCAGCTATTTCCAAACTCCTGGATGCTCATCTCCATTGACTGCCCTCTGGTTGTAAAGTCATTCTTCGAGCGGCCATCAAAATCCCCACAAAGGCCACAGACTTTTCCCTGTTCAATTTGCATAGGTACAGTTAGCAAAAAAGAAAAGAGTTGCAAATTTCTAAACAGTCCTCAAAATATGTCTTAGGAAAAGCTAGAGTCTAAGTGACAACATCAGTCTGAAGCCTCTAAGACTGCAAAGCATCTGGCTTTATGTCTAGCTCCAAATATTCTGGAGCACTTTGCATGGACTACATGTTGAAATAAAACAAAACGTGGTCCACTTGCTGCTTCTTGTCCACTGGATTGCACATTTTTCCAAGTCCTGCTTTTCAAACTGAGTGACCAATTCTACACATGCAACTCTGAGTTTAACACTGTAGCTCTCAGTTAGCCTAGTACCTACGTGGAAATACGGTGACACATGAACAACAACTGTAGTCTTCTGGTCCCACATGAAGATCATCCCTTGAGTTGTTTCAATCACAATATAACCTCCTCTGAGATCCACCTTGTAATTCTTCTCAGCGGCTGGATCAGTAGCTATCTCCTGGATTCTTCCTTCCAAGAGCCTGATTTCACTGCTCTACAAGGAGCAAATAAATGGAAGGAAATAGAACACTATAATAACACATTCTGTCTCTTGTCACTCATCTCATTTTTTCTGTAATACTTGCATTATATCCTGGCCTATTTCTATCTTCAGAATTGTGACAATTGGTCTCCAAGACACATAAAAGATTCAGTGAATTCTCTAGGAAACTTCTGCCCATGCATCATATGGTTTATCTCACAGACAGAGAAACTGGTCCCATTCTAGCAGGAATCCCAAGAGCAAAGGCAGCTGGGAATGCTCAAATGCCAGTTGTCATGGCTCTCTGCTTCAGTCTTCTTCCACCACCCCGAAGAAATCACTTTGTGTGCTCTGGGGAAATGTTAAGACTGAGGGGAAGGATGAAATTCTTTCCTTTCTACTTAAGTCTGCCCTGTGCTCAAGCCATGACACAAAAATATGCTCTAAAAATTTCCTTCCAGCACCATCACCACCCCATCAACACCAATGTCACGGACGCATATGCACACCCACACAGAGTGCTTTTGTCTCTCTGCATATGTTCTCCCCTGCAGAAGTGCCCAGCCCTGGCAAATTCTGAATATCAATACACTGAATACATAGACCTCTGCTTTCTGGCTGTTTGCCATTCTCCATCAGAGCTGAATTGGAATAAAAGGGCATAATACACTTATTGCTCACATAATTAAACCTCACACCTTCTCAGTTATAATTTATTCTAGACAAACCTCAAAAATAAGAGTGATTTTCAGAGAACAGATGGAGAGTGACTTCCCACAGGCATTATTCTGAATTACAATTCGGAAAGTGCCAGCATCCATGTTGTTGGGGCAAAAATCCTAAGAAAAATAGGTAACAGTGTATTAGATTAGTCCAGTATTAAACATTTTCAGGGGCTCTAAACAAATAATACTTTCATCTGACTTCAGCTCTTCTGTCACATTTTTGTTCACCAAAATTCTGGACATTTTAGAAGAATCTGGTCATAGCTGAACTGCTTATACTTGACCAGAAATTTAAAGGTGAAAAAGTCTTAGAGGAAAAATTAACTTTGTGTAGCACCAGTCATGCATGGCCAAAAAACCCCAAATGTTCTTAATATTAGCACCAGCACGAGTAATGTGGAGATGACAAAACATCTCATTGAATTCTCGTTACATGCAACTACTGTACATGCATTACAAGGTTTAAACATAAACGGTTACTTGCTTCACTCACAAAAAAAGTACTCTCATACTAGGATGGTCTACAGAAATATTCAGCTTTTCCACACCACAGGAATGCCTTCCCACTGCAAATGCTGGAATGACACCAGGAGAATCACAGAACAGTTGAAGCTGGAAGAGATCTTTAGAGATCATCGAGTCTAGATAGAGATCAGCATTCTGGAGAAAGGCTGCCCATGCCAGCAATAAAACATTGCCCTTGCACACAGTGCCCTCTTGCGTCATTTTTGAGGAGCAATTGCTTTACTTTTACATGGAAAAGTCTTACTGCATCTCCTCTGGGTACACGAGGCAAGGTGGTTGGTTCTGCTCATCATGGTTTACTATCTTGCATGAGATAGCCTTGTAATGATTTAGACTGAATCTTTCAGTGTAAGCTGTGAAAAGCACACGGCAATGAAAGTGAAAGCTTAGATACCTGAGCCAAAATATAATCACAGTCTCCAAGGAAATCAAAGTTCTCTCCATCAAAGGTCATGTAATGCCCATTTCCATAGACAGTGCAGGTTCCTTTGCAAGGGTTGTCTGTACATTTCCACTGCCTTTTGTCACAAGTGCTGAGAGAAGAAATACAAATACCCACAATTTGTGCATCGTGCAAAGATTTCCTACAAAGAATGCAATCACCTTTCATTCTTGCAGGCTTTCCCTACCAACTATTCTGAAACCATACCATAAAGTGGTTTACTAGTAAGAATTCTTTTTTTTAAATCAAAATGCATCTTTGAAATTTGTATATTTTTATTCTATTTTCCTTTAAATATCTTTTAAAACATTAAAGCCCGACAGCAGGAAGTGAGGATTTAGAAGACAAGTACATGGTGAAAAAATGCTTGAACTGTATTTAAGTATCAAACCGTGGTGCACCAGACAGTCAGTTGTGTTCCTGATTTTAGTAGTGTGAACTATTTTTTCTTCCTGCATTCTTCTGACAACACACTCACACAGAGCATTTTAGTAGTTATTCCCTTGGCTCAAGGGCTCTGCAATTTTATCTCCATGTGTATCCTGTTCTCTGAAGAAAACAAATGCCTTCACTGCAATAAAACCTCTTAATGGCCTTTGCAATAGCAGCAACTGCTCATTAGGGTTAGGCCTCACATGTTAAACCTGAATGCTCACAGCACTGGTGATCAGGCCAAAGTGTTTATGGCTCTCAGTCCTAAGAAGAGGAGGCACAGAAAGTGTCTCATCTTCACTACATAATGTCTGGTTCACCCACCATAATCAATAATAAGCAGTAAAAACTGTCTCAGCATTATTAGCATTATACCAGCATTGGGAGCATTCAATTATCTCATTTTAGAACAGCAAACCCACAAGCAGTGCAAATAGCTGAGACATCCTGCAATTTCTCCCACCGCTAGCTTCATCCCTGAGGTTCAGCTGTGTCCTACACACAGAATCAAATCCCCTCTCCAGTTTGTCTGCTTGTACAGTGTCCAGCCACAGACCAACCTGCATGGGACTGGCATTTCCCTAACTGCTGTGCAAGCAGTCTCGAGAGCAGGATGGAAATCATCAGATAAAAAATCTTGGCACCGCTTACCACAAGCGCAGGTTGGTGCAACGTGATGCAGAGAGGAAATGTTTCTTTTTTATTTCCACTAAAAGCCTGATTGCTCTAGTGATTATTTGGAAGGTTTCAAAAGGCTTCCTGCCCCATGTTCTCACAGTGCATTATGCTCTATTAGCTATTTTTCTTGAGGCTACAAACTGTAAAACAAGACTCTCTAGGATAACATACCATGTGTTGCAGTCAACTTTGATGGTTTCGCCAGGCTTATAAAACTGTCCTCCATGGACGCATGGGCATTGATCTTTGGAAATACAGCCCCCACTGCCATCCAATACCAGCCCATCAGGACACATGCAGCCGGAGACACATTCTGTGACATACTGTATATATGAAGATACAATAAAAAGCAGTGAGTTAAGGCACATCAAGTATAGAGAGCTAGCAGAGATGCTAGATCTGGAGGCCAAACTTAAAATTTTTTCCTTTTAAATTCCATGACTGTAAATCATCAAAAATCAAACTATAAGCGTAACAGCAAGAATTGCTACACTATCATGCAAATGGTTGCTCTGTAAAGAGGGTAACATATTCCTGTCATCATTTGCTAAGGGCAATCAAATATGCCCAGTCACGATGCCCCATGCGTCTGCTGGGGTGAGGTCCTTACACAGTGCATGTCCTGCGTCTTGCAACTTTTTTGGCACTCCGATCCGACTGCACCAGGGCCCGCAGAACTGCAGTTGAAGTAATACATAGGAGCAGGGCAATCTATACAAGGAAGAAGATATTAAAGGAAGGGTGTTTATTGAAAGTGATAAGGACAACATCAGAAATTCTGTGATAGAGCAAATTCAGAGACAGAGGATAGCATGTGCCTTGCAATTCCAGTTTCTGTTGGCTTTTTCTTCTATCCAACAGCAGCAGTGGAAAAGGGGCAGAAAATTGCTAAGCTTAGTCAAATATCTTCAGTTTTAAGAATTCAACAACTCTGGTGACATCTTTACAAAGACAACTGTTATCGATAACTGACAGATGTCAGGAAGAAGGCAAAAATGGGCCTAATAATAAATGTTGTAGAAGTGAGAGATACATTGAAAACATTATAAATATTGACACCATAATGTCAAAATCTCACCTTTTACTAGGACAGTTTCTCCAATGCAGTCTAATCTTCCTTGAATGCATTTACTAAAGAGATTCCATAAAATGAAACACATCAGCTCTTCACACATTTACTCTAGAGAAAAAAATCACTGCAAAGCTTGCTAGTCACATAAATAACAAAATCTCACTGAAATGAGTATTTTGTACAGCTATCAGGTTCACAGAAATGAGTTACTGTCCCCTGAAGGAAGATAAAGACACACAACTCTTAAATTCTCTTCCTTCTCCTGATACCCATTTGCTGTGTATTTTCCCTTAATCAAGTCTTTCATAAACATATATTTCCCACTCTATGGGATGTGATCATTACTTCCCTAAATGAGACTTCTTCAATTAATAAATGAAATAATATTTACAAAATAGTCTAAAATTCAGAAAAAAAATCTATAACTATACAGAGAGAGAGGAAAAGCATGTAGGCATCTGAAGATACAAAAGAAATTATTTGAATAATTTCATCCTTCCTTATTATTTGTTCACATTATTAGCCTGAGTGGGTTGAGGATGGAAATGATTTTTTTACTGGAAATGCAAGATATTTACCTTATTTAGTATTTGTATTCAAAATTCTCTTTTGATGCTTCAAAGCTGAGATTTTATTTTTCTTCTTGGACTTTTTTTTTTTTTTTAAATAGCAAGTAGGGTGTTTTCACTTAGTTTTTTCATCTCAAAAACCTCCCCATGCTCCCTATATCTTCCAGAAAAACTTGTTCCCCCTCTCTATATATGTTTTTTTTCCCCATATTAAACATCTATACTTCATGCTTTCAGAGCTTTGTAGTACAGACAGATCCCAAAAACCGCTCTGTTGCACATGCTTTCAGGTTCCCATTTGCTGCTAGCAGGAATACGAGATCCTAGATTTCGTTGTGGCTGCCCTTCCTGAGCCTAAAATTTGCTTTGGTAGTGTCAAGCAGAAACATGTCGTTATTATTCCTACTCTAAGACACAACCTTTCAGAGATTACAGCACGGACAGCCCCATCTGAGCGCTGAGCTTTCTCACACACGCACGCTTTGAACGGGCAGACCCGCTTACCACATCAGCTTGTCCTCTTGGAAGGAGTTCCCGGGCTGAATAATCTTGCCTTTGTAGTAGCACGGACAGTCTGCTGGAGTTACACATTCCTCCTCATCATTGAGGTAGGTCCCTTCGGGGCAACCACAGCCCTCCATTGGCGTGATCTGGACTTTGCACAGCGGATCAGGTTCATCCAGGGAACGGCAAGACTGGTTGCAGAACTTCACGCTATAGTTATAAACCATAGTCTCAGGACACTCCTCAGAGGGATCTTGGCAAGAAAAATAAAATGGATGTATGGCCTTCTCTGGCAACCATCATTCATGCTCTTTGTGCAGCTCTCTGCCCAGTGGTAGCCATTAAATGTGCTTTATTTCAAACGTTGTCTGCCAGTGGTCTGGGGAAAGTCTGTTCACAGAGCTTTCAGAAATGGGGTGATATTGAGTGCTTAACTACTCAGCAGGGAAAAACCTTGACTAATCAGAGGAACTACTAGGATTTTTGTTGTTTCTAAAATTTACAGTTCTATCTTGTGTCAGGAATTAAAACCAGTAACTTCCAACTTGTCCTTGTAGTTAAAAATGATTTTGCTGTCCTTTAGTACTTCTTTCTCCATCTGGGAGTAATTTGAGGAACAAACACATTTTCTAAGGGTAAATTGTGAAGTTACATCTGTAGTGCCAGAGAGCTCTGTACATCAGCTGATGTTACCAAGGAAACTGTCTGAATTCTAACAGATTTTGGCAATGTCTTGAGTCAAACACTGAGCATGCTATAATGAAATGAGGAAGAAACTTCTAGTCTTCTGGGCAGACCAAGCAGTTTAATACAGAAACCTAAAGGGTTCAGCTGTCCCTCTCAGGTGGTGAAGAGCTTACCAACCTCGATGGGCTACCAAGAAACATCACCTTCAAAAATATGCTACAAAATCTGCGGTAGGTAGGAAGGTCTCCTTAGGGTAACCATCAAATTGCATCAGGAAATACCATCCACATATAAGCTGGGATTTTCAAGAAAGCCTGGCATCTAAACTCCCCTGAAATTCAGTGAGAACTGGAGGCCTAGCCTTCTTAGACCCCTTTGTAACTCACTCCTTGAATATTTACCTTGAGATTTTCGTTTTTCAGATACAATCAGATCTATTAGAAGGGCTTTTTATGGGAAACAGGGTTGACTAGTTGTGCAGCAACAGTATCACCAGATCAGCAATTAGATTCCATGCTTAAATAAATCTATGTACGTTTTTGCAATTCATGGCTGTAGTATGCATTCTTAGATTAGTGTGCTAGGTTTGCGTACCCATAAAGAAAAAACAGCTACAACAAAAACAACTGCTGAGTAATTTGCTGGTCTTGGTTAGAGAAGACCAATATCCTGTGTAATAAAAGGACAACCCACATTTTCCTACTTCATAGCTTACTACAAAAATGAGGCAACTAGTATTTGTAAATAACATTGGACCGAACAGATAGATAGATATCCTTATTCAGTAAAGGACTCAAGCATGAGTTTTCATCCCAGTCCACTTCATACATCAAGAAATTTACCTGAAATAGTGTCTAAATTGTTAGTTCTGAATGCAGTAAAATGGTATGTCTACTTTTTCCTCTTAAATTGTTCACAGAAAGAAAAGATGAATTTTGGTAAAGCAAGGTATTGTGAAAAAAAATATATTATTTGATGACAGTAATTAATGGATAGGAACCATATCTAGGACAGAAATGTACATGATTTTAAATTAATCAACTTCTGTTCACTTGTTATCTAGTCCTGAGCTGAATTAATGTATGCCTTTAAACACTTTCACTTTCTCAGCTTCCAGTAATACATATTCATTAAAAATCATTAGTATTTTAACGTAGCATGGGAAAAATAAGGCTAATGAGAATGATATCAGATGCATAGGCAATGCTTATGACAGCAGGACTGACCTGACCTGTAAAAGGCCTCAGAATTAAAGTACATGGGGAGCCCCAGGTAACCAAAGATTGTCATTCTTTATTTTGATTAATACGCTTAATTATTTTGCTCACGCCAATCCAAGTTCTGAATTTACCAAAGATTTCACACAAGAAACATGTATCATAAGAGCCTCTTCATGAAGCGGACATGAATGGATTTTGGCAGGCAAGTTTTTTTCCTAGAGTATGTGCCTGTTTGAAAACGCTCTTCTGAAGATGTTCCATTATGTCTCTACTGAAATAATATAGGATGCATACCACAGATCCCCTGTCTCCAGCCCTTCAGGGTCACACCTGCTGTAACACAGTCTCTGGAGTAAGCAGAGAGCACACTGCACAGTGCCACTTCACTCTTCTCAGCATTACATGTGTCGTACATACATTTCTGGGTGACAGACAAGACACAGGTATTATTATGCCCTGCTCACAGCAGGACGTGGAGACATTTAGCAATTCAAAAGGCTTGCAAGCAATGCTTTTTCAGAAAAGTATGACCAGCAATGAGACTTTGTAACATCTCTAATCCAAAACATGCTAATGAAATACTCTGCAAATCTGAGATACAGGAAATCAATTACAGCCATATGACTTCAATGGTGATAACAGTCAAGCAGATGAATAATATAGCCATAAAAGACATTTATCGCTCATTAAAGCACTAATAAATGTCTGCACCAGACTCCTATGGAGATATACAATCTAGGATCTATCCAAATACAACATTCAAATGTACAGAGGCGAAAATAGCAATGACACGAGCTTATGTGCCTAGCCAGTGTGCAGATAAGATATTAAATGACAAATTATTTAATAGGGAATTGTATACAATGGCATATAAAGAAAAATCTAAGTCTCAAGTTATTTTAATTGTGCAACTGGACAGAAGGATTCAGGAAAAAAAGGTCCCTTGATATTCCTTCTAAATACAGGCAGTTAATAGGGAGCATTAGGCTCATACTACATAGATGGTGTCTTATCCTACCTGCAGTGATGTCAGAGAAAACACTTCCACTGGTCAGGTGTGAAAAATTCTTTAAGATCAGCAGAAACAGCAAACAGATCCATAACAAAGTAGTTATTACTTCTACTCAATTAACATGAATTTTCAAAGAAACACTTCTTGAGGAAAACTCAGCAGCAGGGAGAAAGCATGAGTCATATCTCTCAGGGATCCAGAGACTCTGGACTAAAACATCCACTCAGAATAGAGATTTACCTTGATGTACACAGAAGGGTCTACAACAGAATGGCACTCAGCAAACACACTGCTTGTATCAGACAGAAGAGCACACCAATGCTGGGCAAATTTTTCTGAAGTGGGAAAAAAAATGTTCTTAGTCACATGAATGGAACGTGTGGCACGGGGTCAAAGCGAGGCGGGTTTTAAAGATCTCCAGAGAAGGAGACTCCACAACTTCTCTGGGCAGCCCTTTCCAGGGCTCTGTCACCCTGACAGGAAAGAAGTTCTTCCTCACATGGAGATGGAACTTCCTGTGTTTCAGTTTGTACACATTACTCCTTGTCCTGTCACTGGCCACTACCGAGAAGAGTTTGGCTCCATACTCCCTGCATTCTCCCCTCAGACACAGATACTGATCAGATCCTCTTTCTATCTTCTCTTCTCCAGGCTAAACCGGCCCGTCTCACTCAGTTTTTCCTTGCAAGACAAATGCTCCAGTCTCTTAATCATCTTTGTCACTCTACCCTGGACCCTCTCTAGAAGCTCCACAACCCTCTTGTGCTGGGGAGCCCAGACCTGTACCCAACACTCTAGGTGCAGCCTCACCAGAGCTGAGTAGAGGGGCAGGATCCCCTCCCTCCCTCTGCTGGCAACATCCTCCTGATACAGCCAGAATCCCATTGGCCTTCTTGGCCACGAGGGCACTGCTGCTCCATGGTTAACTTATTGTCAGCCAGGACTCCCAAATCCCTCTCTGTGGAGCTGCTCTCCAGCAGGTCAACCCCTAGTCTGTACTGGTGGCTGGAGTTATTCCACTCCAGGTGCAGGGCCCTGCCTTTGCTCTTGCTGAACTGCATGAGGTTTCTCTCTGCCCTGCTCTGCAACATGTGTAGGTCCCTCTCAATGGCAGCACAACCCACTGGGGTGTCAGCCACTCCACCAGTTTTATATCATCCCCAAACCTGCTCAGGGTGCACTCTGTGCCCTTGTCGAAATCAGCGATGAACAAGCTGACCAGCCCTGGGCCCAGTACTGACCCCTGGGGGACACCACTGGCCAGACACCTCCAACTGGACTTGCACCATTTATCACAATGCTCTGAGCACTGCCAGCCAGGCAGTTCTCAATCTGCCTCACTGTCCATTCATGTAACCCACACTTCCTCATGAGGATGTTCTGGGAGATGGTTGTCTCTTTAAAGTCTTTAAAGTCTTTAAAGTTCTCTCTTTTTCTGGCAATGTTTTTTTCTTTTGTTTTAAAGTCAGAGCTATCACTTTAGAAGAAGCTTGCAAGAATGTGAATATTCTCTCTATTAATAGCCTCAGAGGCAGTGGCTTTTGATGACTATAGGATTTCTAAACCTTTTTAGGTTGTCCAACATACGAGAACTATTTAACACTCATAATCCAGGAATGAAAAGCTTACTACCTTTATCCACACTGTTTGCACAAGGATCTTCAAAGCTGTCTTCAACATCAAAACAGCTGGCTCTAGTTTTCCATGAATTACCAAAGGCAGATGCTGAATCTTCCACAGCTCCAGTGACTGTTCTAAAATCATCAGTCTGGATGTTATTGAAATTGCCACAAAGACCTTGGATGGGTGTTAGAAAAAGAAAGGAAAAAAAAAAAAAAAAAAAGAAAGAAATCTCAAGATGAACATTAGAAGGAAGAACCAAGAATATAGCCTCCATTTCACAAACCTCTAATGAGGCCTATTTTTGTACCTGAAGTCTAAAAATCTGCCAAATCCCACTAATCGTCAGAGAGCTTGTGTTATTTCTGCAAATTGAAGGGTTTGGCCAATTGTTTGTTTCTAGGAAGACTACAGATTTAATCAAAGGTTCTAATAACCAAAGTCAAAATAAAATCAAATAATTTGTTAATTTAGAGTCATGGACAAGTAGCCCTAACTGAGGTGCAAGAGCATGACGTGTCCTACCAGCTGTGCGATTCTGATAAGAATGATCCACTGTTATGGAGAGCTGCATTATAGGCTTCAATTGCACTCGAATCCGTACTCCAACAGAGGACAAGATTTTGATGAAAAATGTAGAGGGTCGGAAGATGGTGATGCCATCTAAAGAGAAAAAAAGAAAGCATATTTGCACTTGCAAATCACTATAAAGGGGAACTTCTATTTACCAATACATCCAAAGGTAACATAGCCATTGCCAGACCTATTTTCCACCTTGTCAAATATCCTAACAAAGGACAAGAGCAAGGTTCTTCAGAACAAGGCACAGGTATTGCTCTGTAAGTAGATATTGGAGAGCCTGGGGGAAGATGTGATGAAGACACTTACCTTTACTTACTGGCAGCTTCACAATAAAATTATTCATGTAGATATTTCCACAGGAACATATTTTTATAGTCTGCAGGGAAAATATTAAAAAAAGCACACAATAATAAGCATGGCACAAAACAGATAACAGTTACTTCACAAACTTCATTAAGAAGGTAACTTCTTTAAAATACAATCATCTCTGCGATCAATATAACTTATTGTTAGATGCTACATAGTGGAGTAGAGCAAATTTCTAAGTAATAATGAAAAATGAAAAACTCTCTCCATATGCCACAGCATTGACTGAATGCTCTCCCATACCTAATAGGTTATCTTTATGAGAACTGCAGTCAAGACACTATATATAGTCCTCAATCTATCTGATCAGAAATATAGCATTCCCCAAATTAGAGCTACCTGGCTCAAACTCCCTCAATAGTCAATGGAGGGAGACAGACACCTCCAGAAACTGCCTCCTATATTAAGTGGGCTGACTGGTAATTTGGATATCCCTATCTTCCTTTATTGACTATAGAGGAAGGTTAAAATGATGAATTTCCTAATGTCTTTATATCAGTTAAGTACCAGATAGACAAGGTGAATCCAGGTCTCAGAATAAACCTGTATATCTTTGGAAGTGCATAAAAACAGTCCTAACTCTGTCTCCACTAAAGTCAGTTTGAATCATATCAGTGGGAGAAACCTCAGGCTTTCATCTGGGAAATTCTGCTACTTCTGCTAGTAGTAGAGAAAACCTCAGGTCTCTAAATTCTAAAGTAAAAAGGAAGAGGTCTTGTAGAAGTTTCCAGTTTGCAAAAAGAAAAGTGAGAAAGTTTTAAGTCATGAAAAAGGAAAACCAATAAGAATAATTTTGAACCTACTGCCTCTGAAGCAAATGCAAAAGCCAGAATCCAAAAGAACTGGAAATCCAGTAACTCTTGCAGAACAAAACTAATAAACACATGTGCTGGTATTAAACTGGAAATCTCAGAACTATAACAGAGCTGAATCTAAATAGAAGTGTCATATTATGTGGCAATAACTAAAAACATTACTTACAGTTCTTCCTAGTGTGACTAATACATTCTTTAAGCAAGTCATTGTCTTTGATGTACCACACTGGACAATCTCTCCAATCACCACAAATGTGTCATCAGTGTTCTGAAAAGAGGTAAGAAGAAAAAATGTGCAGACAATTTCAGCATGTTACAGGAAGGGAGCTAGAAGGAAAAAAAGAGTATGTCTCAAAGTCTAAAATGGATCCTTGAAAGAACTGGGGCATTTCATCTGCAGCTGCTCACTGTTACCTTTCATAGCCAAAAATCAATCATATTCACTGCTTTTCCTCTACAGCCTGTTTCCTTGCTATCGACTTGTGTAGGCAGTGTACTTAAAGACACTCGTATGGATGTTAGGCTTTTGGAAGGAATCAGAAACTTCCTTTTCACAGTTATACATGAAGAAAGCTTCAGGAGAAATGATTAATCTACACCAATAAAACCAGTAAGAAAAAAAAATCCATTTAAAAAAAGACATAAAACTATGCTGAAGCTGCAAAATGTTGATGCTAAGCGCAAAGCAACTGACTTGCAGTCTACTGCAAATGGGAGATTTTATGGCATTTAAGATGGAATATGTGTTGAAGTGCTTTTCTGAAGTGGGACCATTTGATCAAATGAAGTCATAGAAAGCCCAAGAAAAGTTTAATGTCTCTTGCTATGCTATAGATTCAGGAGTGAAATGAAAGACTGTACATACCTTAGCTAAGACGTAATGGCAATTGCCATGAAAATTGAACCTTTTATTATCAAATGTTGTTATATGAAATCCTCCATCTATATGGCAACTTCCGGAACAGGGCAGAGTGACACAGTTCCAGTGACCTCCAGTGCAAGTACTGTACAAAGTATACAAGAAAGGAGTAGTTAGAGTAAACACAGCTTTAAAGGAGCAAAGGAAAAGATAATATCTGTATTTGAATTTGCACAGATCAGTCAGTCTTTCATAGTCTTATGAGCTTGTTATTCAGCTGCTTTTCAAATCACCATGGGAGAAAGACTTTACATTGTGCCTTTAAGTAAAAAAAGCTGAATGCTTGTCAGTGGAAGAGATCGAGTTGGTCAAGAAATGTCTTCCTGGGTCTACATTGTTATTTAAAAAAAAAAAAACAAAAAAACCTCCTCAACCAGGATCTCACAATATTTTACACCACCAATGCAACTGTTTAGCAAATATCTGCAGAGGACTTCAGTTAACTAACAGTTGCACTTCTCAGAGCCATATGCACAAGCAGAAAACAGCAGGCTGCATATGTTCAGACCAAGTGAGCGAGAAATGAGGATCTGGCTAAAAAGGAACTGCCTAAAAGCCTTTGGGTTCAGTTTCTCAAAACTGCAGAGGAAAACGCATGGAATATTTGATCCAAGGGGAGTCAGGGAAAAGCAGAACATCTGCTATACCCCATCATATTTCCTTCGTCTTTATAGTCAACATTACAACTAAAGTCAAGGAAAACATACTATGTCACAAGAGCATAAATAACACATATGATGTGCATTCTGTAAGTGGATATCACAGTAAGAAATAATACTGTTTTGAAAATAATATACCTGAGGTCTTATCACCTTTCACTAGTGCAATGTAGAGATGGATTCAAGCTACAGATTTTGCTCCAAATCAATTTTTCCTCAAGGATCAGGACTTTGAAACACCCTTTTATAGATCTAGAGGTGGTTGGAAAATGTAACTCATTAACACAGCATGAGTCTTTGCAACTCTTCAGTGGCTAATGTCTCTGCACTAACCAGCAAAGAGTCTAATTTTTATGCATTCTGAAATCTTGGGCTCAGTCTTTGCTGTCGATTCCAAGTGAGGATCAAAACTATGTGAGGTTGACATCTGTCTCTCAGTTTTCCTGGACATGCTGGAAGTAAGATCTCAAGTTTAACATTAGTGCCATTATTATAAAAGATAAATCTTAGAAATATGGAGGTGAGGGGGAAAGAGGTGAAAACAACAGAACACAGCTCATCCAGTCCTGTAATGCTTTTCCCTTCTTAATAAAGTCAGACTCATAACAGTACCAGTTTTGGCAAGGAGTGGAGTAAGTCCCTCCTGATGAGTAGACTTTGCCTTGAAACATACATGGGCAGCTGTCTCTGGGGATGCATTTTTTGCCACTGAGATCATCCAGGATAGTTCCTGTTTAGATACATTGTCTAGTTAATATTAGGTGAGTCTGGGACCACCATGAAAGAAGAACAGAGTATAGGAAAGAACAAACAAACAACAGCAAAAAAAAACACAGACACAAAAAACAGGAGTACTTAAATATTTCTATCAATGGAGTAGGCCCTTAAGGAAAATGATGCTTCAGACCCTTCCCTGCTACAAGAAGATCAAATATCCAGTAGGTTGGATATTCATTCAGACCCATAACACACAGGCACCTCAAAAGACATCTTCATCTATAACCTAGAGACCACTTCTCCTTTTTTTCCACTATACATATAATATTTCTTCTGTCTAGTCCTTAGACAGAAAGGCATCTGTCCTTTCCCTTCCCTACCCCAACGGCAGGATCTTAAATCTGGTTCTACCAAGATTTGAGTTGATCTACCAAGAACCAGAGATCTGGTTCTACCAAGAAGGGAGTTGTTAATTATACCAGAAGAAACAGTTTATTCACAGTACTAAATGCTAAGAAAGTAATTGCTCATAACTGAAAGGGCTACAGCCTCCCTATTTGTCCCACGATGTGTAGGCCCGTTAGAAAAAAAAAATGCCTTACCAGGAGGACAGAAGCAGCCATCTGTACACGGAGCTTTGCAAATCTTGCTCCTCTCTGGGTCAGCACATGTGTCTGCACAGGAGTTTCCACATTCCATATACTCCATATTGTTTGGGCATTCCTGATCTGCAAGATCATGAGAGATGATATATCCAAGTTGGAATTTGTTAATCACTTATTTGTAAATGCTCTAGAATTATTATATCACTACCCATTTCCTTCTATCTTTTCCTCACATTCTGGTTGCCAAACTTTCTTCTCAAATTTGCCAAGTTTTTTAAACATTAAAAGGATTTATGATCACTGCTACTGCATCATGGAGTAAACAGTACTGGAAATACGATTTCACATTATTTTACTAGCTCAAGTTTGGCTGAAGACTTGATAGCAGCAAACTACACTGGAATCTTTTATGGAGTCACAGCAGCTTGTTTCTGCCTTAAATATCAGATCTTCCAGCATGACTCCTCTATCTAAATCCTCAATTGTTATTTGGAAGAACTTCATCTAGCCCTCCCCTGAGATTTACTGTGATAAAGAAATCACTGGAACTGCAATACAGGAATATGAATGCATATTATAAGCTGAGGACAAACATGTGAGACTTTTCTGACCTCTTCTGATGCAATAGATGTCACAAGTTAAAAAAAATAATAATAAAAATGTAAAAAAAAAAAAAGATAATTCATGAATTAATTGCATGAGCTAAAAAGAAGAAAAATGAAAGAAAAAAGTTATAAGGAAGAAGACAAAGGAAGATATGTAAAATAATTCAAATTTAAGGAGCAAAAATGAAACTGAATTTATAGAAACTTTTATACTAACAATATCTCTGCCAAATAGTCCTATAACATCAGGGCTCCCAGCCTGACTCTGCTGGCATCAGAATTTGACCCTCTATAGCCAACCTGAACAAAAATTTCTAGAGCCCTAGCTACTTACGGCAAAGCTCTTTGGTTCTCCATTTTCCAGGATCTCCCTTCCTGAGGACACAGTCTCGAGAGTATTGGTTTAAAGTGCTGCATATGCAGCTAGAAACCAAATCAGAGTGAGAAGAATTAACCACACAATGGCACATATCTTCAGTACAGGTGGCTACGTAGTCATCAAAAGCAACCAATTTAGGGCAGTTTCCAAAGCGGGACAGAAGTTTCTTACATTTTTTTTTCTGGAGGGGGGCGGAAAAAAAAAAATAATAAACAGTTTACTGATGTTCAGGCTTATATGATAATTCAGCTTGGAAAGGATATCAGGATGTTATGCAGTCTAATTTGCTATCATGCAGTTCTTCTTGGAGTGAAAGCTGTCACTCACTCATATATTTTCCCACTTCACATTTCTTTAACACTGTAGTAGCACATTTTTTCAGCTATAAGATCAACTTTTTCCTCAGAGGTATGCCTGGACTCCTAACAAATTCAGCTGAGTACATGCTCAACTATTCAGTTCAGTGTGTAAAACTGCTTCCAAAACAACCTCTCTGTTAAGAGCGATAGTGGAGGGAGAGCAGAGGTGAGGAGGGTTTATACTTCTTGACCACACATACTTACATATTTACTGCATCTGTCATCTTCCTTCCTAGGATCTCTTCCAGTGTGATCATCTGGACTGACATCAGCACACTTTTCTGATGGATCCTCTACTTTGTGAAAGTTCCCAAACTGCCTCGGGTGCATTTTATACCCTGCAAAATCCACAGATGCATCCAAGTCAACTGTCAGATCCACAGCAATTCTTTAGATCAGTTAATGGTCTATGATTATTCATTTAATCTTTATGTTATAAGACAGAATATATTCTTCACCAAAATGCCCATGTCTAACCCCAGCTTCCATAACATAGAGAATGACTGCCTGATATAAGTTCTGTCCAGTTAGAATCAGGAAGCTGGCACTCTTGTACCAAAGACTGTTGGCCATCCTACACACACACATCACATGGGACTCAACCTTTATATTGCAACTCATCAGTTTCAGAAATTTTGGTTCTTTACAGGTATATCTGATCTATAGAGTTAGGTATTTGCATATGTAACAGTCACACAGTTATGTTTCTTTCTATTCCAGGAGCACAGCCTTAAGTGATGATGTTTCTAATTATCTGGTAATTTATTACTTCTCACTGGCTAGAGATGGGAAGTGACAGCAGGAGAAACACACACACACACAATATATGCATGCAACACTAAGTAGAAGGGTACATCTTCCATGCATGCCCGCATATTTTCCAAATGTCCATATGTTTTAGAATATCTGTCAGGAAACTTGCAACCCCACTTAGAGAAAATGGATGTCAGGTTTCGTGTCACATTATTAATACAGTCCGGTGTTACAGGGAACATGCTGTAATCACGGCCTACCATCCAAAATCAAATCATTCTTCTTATTGCCATCATAGTTCCCACACAGACCACATATTTTCCCTTTATATGTTTCTTCCAGGTCCAACTAAGAAAAAAAAAAGCAAAGAGGAAACACAGAGTTTAAAGACTTTCTCCTTATTGACAGTACATGTTACTACACAGTGCACTGTAGAAGAATACGGTTGTAGAAAAGTGTTTTATCTCTTTCTAGCAGTTTCCTTTTCAGCTATAAATCTGCTATAAAACTTATCAGCAGAAAGGCTGAATTTACACAGGAAGATAATTCTCTAACAATTCTTATTCCTACCTACTAAACAGCTAAGTGCAGCATGCTGAATATTGGACTAATCCTTGGGCCAGCATCTTCCAGTACACATCTGCTTCCTTTCTCATGCAGGGTACCACAGCTCTGCTCTGGGCAGAAGGACAAATACTCAACTGTGCTGTGATGCTGGATGCTGCAAAGGAACAGCTTCTGGTCAACTCTTAGCAACATCTAATGTTTTTTCTATTCCATTGACTAAATGGAAAATTTTATTGTATTTCTAGAATTGGGCCTGCCCAGCACATCTTCTTCTGCCCATATTCTGTGATGTAAAGAGCCAAGTTAGCACATTATTGTCTCTCTAGATTGAACTAATGCACTTTATCATCCATGCATTGTTGGGGCAGTACCCATCTGTCAAAGGTGGTCGTTGTCCTATAGGTGTGCCTTCCTAAAATTGTGTTCTCTCTATAGGTGGTGCCTGTAATACTTCAGGTATTAATTAGTACACAAGGAGAGGGTAACAAATACTTATATCAGAATTGCTACTTGATCATAAAAGCTGGCTGTAGGCCTTATACAGGCCTTATACAGGCTTATACAGGCCTTATATAGGCTATAGGCCTTATATTCTGTCCAGACTTCTACCTACACAAAGTTACCCATTTTTTTTACTCTCTGTTCCATTTCCACCCTTTCTCTGTCTCTCTGTACTCCAAAACATGACATACTAACTCTCTTTTATTTAGGTATTGGAAATCTTATCATCTCTGATTGTGGAAAATTACTATTTACATCCAGATTGTACACAACGCATCACAGGAAAAAATATATTGGGGGTAGATGTTTAGAGGGGAACACGCCCATGGCAATGTGCTGACGTGGAATGAGAGATGCCAGGGATGGAACTGCCTGTGCAGATTAGTTTCCCACATATGATATGCATTGGGACAGAGGGTAAGTAACAAGCCAGAGCTAGGGGATAAGTAGCTTTACTTCTGCCACTGCTCAATGCAGGAAGCAGATAATTACAGGAATGCTATTTCCAGGGTGGACAGGGGCATCTTTTCTCAGGTATAAATGCTTGCAGACACCTAGGGATTGCAATTCCAGTCACCTGCCTCATGATGTAAATTGTGTGGTATTGCTTCTGAAACAAGCTAGGATGGTATGTCCCCATCACCTTATGGATAACCCCTGTCTCAAGCCCCAAATCAGCATGGTGCCTTGCATGCAGCTCTGCTTTCCACTATTGATGAGGTTCTCCAAACAAAAAACAACTAACTGGCTGTTCATACTAGGAGAGTGTCAGCCCAGTTCCACTTGAGTGTCAGGCCCAGCTTGGAAGTGACTTGCAAGTAAGCACAGGTGTCTTCAATCAGGATGCTCTTCAAGCTGAAGGGCAGGGGGATCCTGGAAATTGGGGGAAACAAAACAAACAACATTGAAGGAAGAAGAGAAAAAAAAAAAAAAAAAAAAAAGAGAGAGAAAGACCAATCAAATTTCAGGGGCATGGGAAAAAGAGACTGAAGTCAAAAGGAGCCAAATAAGCCAGAAGGACCTTCTTTCCACAATCAGGCTTGATCCACACCATGCATTAAGCTTAGGTATGATAACCTTTGACACTGTGACCTTTCATTAACCTTAATCCATAACTTTTTTTTTTTTTTTATCAACAGTGTGTCACTACTACATTAGCTAGTCTACAGATACCAATACAGCTTGATTTACATGAACTGAGGACCTAATCCCTAAGGACATGAGGAGTGAGATCAAACTACTGGGAAATTGCTTCCCATATGAGGATACAGCATGGAATTCATCATTTCTCCAGGCTTTTCTTTGATGTGTTGGAGTTGCAGAATTTTCATCTGTTTTACTACTCATGTACTGACATCACTCAAACAGAGAACACTTTTATTTTAACCTCACCAAAGGCTTAAACAGCCAATCTCATCCTAATTAAAGTAACTAATCAAAGTTCTCAACTTTCCTCACCTTTCTGCACATTCTTTTTGTTCTGTATCAGAAAAGGGGTAGCCACTCTAGAAAGCATTGGAGAAGACAGCAGATATATTGCTTTTTTTGATTTAGGATAAATCTGGATTTTGCTACTATAATTACAGCCAAGTGATACTGTTCTGTATTTGGATTTTTCTGGAAGACCGTCAAGAAAAGACAGGCTACAATGCTTGCAATTTTCTCATCAAAGTTGTAAGGATTCTTCTTATAGCCAAAGCTTGTCTGAGCTCTTGATACCTACATGCTGAGAGCAGACCACTGCACCTCCCATGAACATTACTCATAAATTTATATCAATCTCAGCTACTGTTATACTTGACTACCCTTTTCCTCATGGAGTATTTTTGCCCTTCTGCCTGCCACTTGCTTTCTGGTTTATTTCAGGTTGGAATTAAAGGTGTGGTTTTTGACTTCCGAGACATCTATCCTTTATAGATATGTATAACTCCATAACCCATGGCAAAGTGTGATCTGTGAAAAAATGCAATTGCAAGATTCATCTATCTAGAAAGAAAACTTTTTCTAAAAGGACCGTCTTATTCCTGAATGGAAATCAACAACTGTAAGCTTAGTACCACAAAAGCAGCATTTTGAGGAAAAAACAAAGCAAACATGTTTCTTCAAAATTAAAATCTTTCATGACTAAAGTGTAGATTTTATCTCCTCCCCTCAATAAAAGAGACCTCTCTCAACCAAAAACCCCAACCAAATAAATCTACACCTTACATTTTGTTAGAGTTCCATTAAATATTATATGGCCTTTTGCTGAGGCATTTCCTAAGCATTACATGTGTCTTGCCTTCTCCACTACTATTGAAAGGACTCTGTTTAAAGTGAGCATATACCAATTTGCAGGAGAGGACACCTCACCAGACAGACAATATGTAACAATAAAACAACAACACAAGAAAGCAGAAGTAGAGTCTTTACTCACGGGTTCCCATTCACTGTGATGCCCGTTTCTTTCACCTCCAGGATGACTCCATCAATGGTGACAGTGAAATATATCAAGAGGGTACTCTTGTCACTGCGTCTTACTTGGATGTTAAAGTCTTGGTAGCTATCATTGCAGTGTGAAGCAAAGACATAAGTGCAGGTTCCAGGGAACGTGTACTTCACATGGTCAAAAGTATGAAAGTGAAAATTGCCCCAGGTGGCACATTCACTCCTGCTTACAGTGGAGACCTGAACTGAAGAAAGAAGCAGGAAAGTTAGTGATCCACTCTACACGTGCTGGTTTGCAGTTGAGATCACTGTTGAAAAATGTTCAGGGAGACATCCTATCTTACATGTCTACCTAGGAAAATTAACTCTGCTCCAAGACCATTTCTCTACGGACTAACAAAGGGGGCTGAGATATGCCAACTTAGAGACATATATCTACAGTCTAATGCAGGGAGAAGTTCTTTCTGAGAAATCCCATCTTGACTGGCTAAAACTTGTTTTTGCATTTGAAATCCTTCTCCTTAGGCTAACATTTGGCCTGAAGTCTTCTATTGACTCTCCTCCAGAAGAAATGACAAACTACCTGACTTTCCAGCAAAATGTCAGCCACTGATCTCAGTAGCTGAGCCTGCCATCAGCTTCAGCAATCTGCTCAGAGCTATTTATTTTTCATCTCAACCAAAACACATGCCTTGGAGTACTGCACTGCACTTACTGCCTAAGGCATTGATAGATGCTTTAATTACATAGAAAGTAGCTTTCATACCACTGATTGCACAAAGCTGATATGAATCACAGATACACTTTGAATTAAATATGTGTTTGCTCTACTATGCTTTCAGTATCTCTCTGGGCCTATGCAAAAGAAGGTCAAAAGAAAGGGGCAAGGGGCAAGTTTCTTGTTGTTGTTGACGTGGCATATTTAGGGACACCGACCTAGCAAGTTTCATCACAGATCAAATCAAAATCATTCAAATAGTCAGTGAGCACTAAAATATTATGAGATATTCATATCTAAGCAGCAGCAGATGGGCATTGAAACAGTTTTTTGAAGGGACTGTAATTTCCCATAGCTGTTGGCAGCACTAAAGTGGAGTATGGTAAAGTGGAGTATAGTCTCATCACTACTTCTGCCCAGGAGTGATGAGAAATAAGAAAGTTTGGCTTATTCTAGAAAGAAGAGTTGCTGAAATTACCAAGGCAGCAAAAAACATCACAGCAATTATTTGTGTATTGAGTGACTGGAAAAGGGGTAAGACATTAAAAACCAATCAGTATAGCTGCACACAAAAAAGTGAGTACTCTTAATTTCATGCTGGCCAATCAAGCCTATCAGGAATTATGCTGACATATTTCTCCTATAAAGAAGATAAGCAAAATATGTGTTAAAAGGACCTAGAAAATCTACTGTTTAAGATTACCCACTTAGGAAATAAAATAGTTGTTAAATTAATATTAGTATTGCAAAGAAAAACTATAAAATATTAAATGGCTTAAGTCAAGGATGCATATGCTTACTGTTAAACAATATCTGGTGCATCTATAAATAATACCTGGTGCGTTCTTACATGAATGTTACATATTTTCAATTGATTATTCTACTCGTCATAGGAATATATAATTAGAGAATAAGATTTTTCTTACCGATCTGAACGGGTTCTTTGCCCTTGCAAAAACACCAAATTAGGCAGAAAATCCAAAACGACTTCCCTGCTTTTATTTCCATCTTGCCATCAAGTAGTAACTTGAAAAATCCTTCCAGGGAACTGTTTTTTTCTTGGCTTATAGGCAGATTTATATAGTCCAGGAATTTGGCATGAGAACAAAACATTGATGGCATGGTACCTGAAAGGTGGAGCTTCTTTCATTTTTCTTTCAGTGATTCATGATTAGCACCGAGCAATCCTTCTTCTCTCTTGGAAATAAAGTTTTCCCCTGCTTTACACAAGGACAGCGAACCATCTTTTGCTTTTCTCTTTCCTTACAGAGATTTTTTTCCTCCTACCTTTTCTTTGGCAACAACTGTTTTTATTTTTCATAGCATTTTCTTTTCATTTTCTTTTTTTCAGTCAATGCTTCCATTCAAAGCTTTCCTCTGGTATTCACATCAGGACAGTTCCCCAGCTCAATTAAAAGTGTTTGTTGCCTCTGCCGGCTTGATGGCTGTTTTTAAGCATTAGAGCAAAAATATTGTGAGGTATAATGTATGGTTAATTTAGTGCAAAAACTTCTGGCAGGAGGTAAATGGACTTTAACAAGTGAATTCAAACTATTTCACAAAAAGATTTGGAGATTTATTGCTTCAACAGACCAGAAAGATCATTAGTCTACACACTGCACACTTCTCACCTTTGCCACACAAATGCAATTTGATTGAAGCAATTAGGCATGGGGGAGTAATTTTCTCTATGCACACAGAAGATTTTTTTTCCAAAAAGCATTAGACTGTGATACCCAAGACCCACCAAAACAAAAAGAAACAGTTCCTTCCTTCACTGCTTCAATGCGGTCGTTGGCAGTTATCAGTGTCTTAATATCCTAGAACACAAAATCCAAAGCGTTCAGTCATCAGCCTACAGTATGTCCTACTAAGGGACACAGCCTACATTTCCTAGCACAGATGTGTGATGTCAGTAATTTTAGGTCTTTGGAGATTTACCTGCTTTAAAGGCACGGGCTGACCTAATGTTGCTCTACCTTATCCAAGTCAAGAGAACCATCACTGTCCCCAGAGGAAGGACTCTAAGACAGTTCCAGCAACATTTTCATACTTTCAATTACTACACAACTCTTTGGAATACACTAACGGCAGCAATTCCCTGTGCTAAGTGAGCATAAATACAGCTTCAATGAATGTAGCTTTCACCCCTGCTACAACTCCTCAGCCACAGTCAGTCCACTGACTCACAGGGAAAGGTGCATGCTCTTTTATCTGGTTGGCAGACAATAAGCCAGTCCTCAAGGACTTGTGCATTTTTTTTTTTTAATCAAAATATCTGGCATGGGCAGAGCTAGGTATTCTAAAGCTTGTGCACTGATTCTTTTCAGCTGTTGCCGCTAACAGGTTAATGAGCTGTTTAGTAAATGGCTTTCAGAGGTGCAGGTGCAAATATCTGCCAGAAGAAGATTTGCTGCTGCCGTTGCTCTTAAGAAAAACCCATACTAGTGGGTTAGAGCATTGTACAATACATGAAACATGAGTTCATGTTACCCCTTTCCCACTGTCCGTGCCCCATTAATTCCATTGTCAGTCACACTTCAGGCAGGACACTATTGGAAGGTAAAGTCTGTTCTTGAAGCCCTGCCATTTTGGCTGGCATACAGAGCAGACAGACTTTACGGCACCAGTTACAGAAGAAACAGATTTCTGCTACTTTTCCTTTCTATCATGGCTCATCTTCCCCACTCTCTTTAACCTGCACAGTTATGATGTCAAGTAGTAGAATACCTAGTAGATAACCCAGAGTATGAGATTATGATATTATTATGAGTAATGATATTATGGTTAAGATTAATGGTACTAATTATATAGTTGGCATTAGGATGATAATTAGATCACATACAGTACTATAGTTAAGACTTTTCAAAAACAAATTCCTATGGTAACATTCAGATTAAATCTTTAGTTAATGTAACCTTCTCTTTCAGGCCATAGAACAGTATTAACAGTTGATGTAGGGAAGGGCTGGGGTGTCCAGGAAAGAATGCATAGAGTTTCACTGACACCGGCACAGAAAGGAAGAGTTTAGCTAAGGCTAAAGAGGAAACTTTGAAATTAATAATTTTCTCATATCCAGGCAAAGCCAAGTACACAACTCTGCAGAAGCAGAGCTCATCTTTCAAAGAAACGTCCTGTTTTCTTCCCAATCCCACCCAAGAAATCAAGGCATTGGCATCTCTTTCATTAACGTGGTTTGAGAGGGGAAAGAACAGGAATCCAGCGGTCTGATTCCTGAACCTAAAACAAATTCCCCTTACTCCAAATGGGCAGCACAAAAGCAGCAGGAACCACATATGAGCTGTCTCCCAAAGATACCATTCAGATTGAAGCAGTTAGAGACAAAGACCTGATGAGTCGGATGATCATGACTCACTCTCCTTTGCCTTCTACACACGGGATGGTTCAGGGGAACGCAAGGGTGGGCAGGAGTGATGAACTAAAGCGTGATTTCCCCCTGCAAGTCACAGCTAGTAAGTATGAGCCTGGAAGGAAAATGAACAACATAGTTAAATAAACTAGTTAAAACCACACTAGTTAAAACATAAACTAAAGCTACTTGCTCAAGGGACAGAACAAAGAAAATAGACAGTCCATTGAACCTCCTTTTTCTGCTCCATTCAGCAGAGAAAGTAACATACATCATCTGGGATCCTCCCCTGAGTTAAGCAAGAGCACATCTCTTGCTATTCAGAGAAAAGATAAAACTCTGTTCTCTTGGTCTGCACCCTAATCATTTTCTTACCTCCACTTGTCTCCTCTGTCATTTTGACCACTCCTTCTCCATTCCTCGGGGAGCAAAGTTCCTGTCAGTCACTAACCAGAGCTGCTGCTTCCAGCTTCTAAGCAGAGAGTGCTGGCTGCACTCCTCCAATATCACTGGATGATCTAATCCCCTGAAATCATTTTAGGACTAATAACAGGGGAGGGATATTTGCATTCAAATGAAGCTTTTTTATATTCCAGCACGGCTACACTAGGGTTTGCAGAAAGAAGACACAGTAGGTACTCAGAAATAAATTCAGACTGCCAGGAAGGTTGAGAATATATTGATTCTCTATCACTGAACCATTGCTACTGCAGGTACATAAAATACAACTATTCCCCCTCTGGGACACACTAGGATTAATAACTCTTCCCTTTATCGGGCCCTCCAGCCTAAGAAGCCTTCATATTCCTGCAGCTGTACTAGCAAAAAGAACAATTCCTCTTGGCTTCTTTACAACCCATTTCATGGATCATTTCCCATTAAAGGGTATGTGAATTTAGTAAATGCAATAGGTAAATATTAACTCAACTTCTTTATCATCACTGACTCACAGGAGATAAACCTGCATGAAGCTAACATAAGATAGCAGTGACTCACATCCCATACCATTTGCTATAAATTCAGTAATGAGGTACTTAAAATGGGGGTCTTGGAGTGATTAACCACATCCACACGCAACTGCAGTACTGAAGTTTGGCAGCAGCACTTGTTTTGCACCCTTCTCTCACAGGTACTCCCATACGTACTGTAAAGTGTTAATGCTGCAAAGTTTCTTGTGATATTCCATCCACAGTCAGTCAATGCACTGAGGAGATTCTGTCTGGAAAGATTCTATAATTCCAGTACATTTCAGGCAAAACAAACAGTGCTATTCCTTTCATTTTCTTACATAAATCCTCCCCGTCCCCCCCACAAAAAGCTTTATCAGTACTATCAAAATACAAACTTTGTTTAGTTATTTAAAAAAACAAAGTTAGCCAGGAAAATGTCAAATTTGCCTGTGATCTCCAGCCCCTCAAGGCAGTCATTGAAACATTAAAAACATCTGAAATTAATCTGGCCAAGTATTTTACATAAGGAATGGTTACAATATGATTTTGCACATTCCACACTGCCAGCAGAAGTCAAGAACAATACAGACTATATTTTAAACCCTGACATAAGCCTATAGAATTTAGAAAATTGACATCAAAGATGTATTTGCTCCATCAGGTTTAGATGCAACACACTGCTTAAAAGGTCTGGTAGTATATGGTGATCTATAACAGGCAGAAGGAGGGCCTATGTCATTAACTGCCTATTAAAATACATGAAGAAAGTCTTCAGTACTTTAATTTTGATGAAATACAGTAGGTTATTTTCTTACATTTTGCCTTAGAACAAACATAAATCTCTGTTCTTGCCATAGGGTTTCTTGACCTTTCCTGAACCAATCAAGGGCATCAGCTACTCCTAGTTCACAAGGAATAAATTTAGCTGTTGTTCTCTCTCTCTCTTTTTTTTTTTTTTGTAGATCATCCATTTACGAGGAGTAATGACACGCCTGATTGGTGTTTGTGCACACGGGTCTCACTGACCTATTGGCACTTCCTCACATTAGAAAGACTAGCTGTGCAGAAAGACGTATCATGGGGAGTTTGGGCCTTGGCCTTTCGCTACCTCAAAGATTTTGCTTGCACAAGCCTTCCTGAGAAAACAAACAAACAAACATGAGGTAGCAGAGCAAAGGAAACCCAAGGCCCTATTTGGAGAAGGATGTGAAAAATCAGTTTTAAGAATTAGATTTTTTTTGGCTTTCCAGCTGGAGCAGATTCTACCACTTTCTACCTCTTTTACAGCCATTTATATCTTCATGAATGCCAAGACAAGTCAGAAAAGACTACTGTATGCTTAATACAGTAGTCAGAAAAGACTACTGTATGCTTAATACAGTATGCAAATCTTTGATGCTTCTAATTAGCTCAGACTGATATACAACCTGCCTTTGAGATAACAAACTGCCTTTGTATCAGCAGGCAATAGCTCTTGCTATGTGCAAAGATTGGCATTTATGTGAGTGACTGAATTAGGTTCTCTAGACTGGTCCTTCTACATCACTCTCAAAGCAAATGGAAAGGCCAAATATACCACATGGTATAACCAAGAACAAGTTTCCAGAATGATTCTTACAGGCTTCTCTTTGTCTACTAATGCGCATATACATATAGAAAGATAGACACACACATATACATATATACTT